CAGTTTTGATAGTGTTGTCTGGCAAGAAACAGACAGGAGAGGCTGAGAATCTTCACCACACCACTTAAGATAACCCAAGGGTAATGGTGTTTGCACATTTGTGAGAGAAATGAGGACAAATGCCAGGGTGGGTCATACATTCTCCTCTTGAGTAGCTGTTTGACGTTTGAGTGTGAAATTGCACACTTCAGCTTAGGAGTATAAAGGAGAAGGAGACCAGGTTCAGAGCTGCTCTCTGATTTTAATGTTGCTAAGAAGCAGGTCACCTAAGCATAAGGATCTCTAATGACAAATTAGAATGGCTTTTAAAAAAACCTAAACACATCTGCTTTTGCTGTGTAAAGCTGATCACAATAGCAATCCCTTCAAAACCTTTCTTCAGTTTGGTTGATGTTTAACTGCAAACAAATCCATTTGGAATATAGATGTAAAAAAGACAGTCAAAGGTATTTGTTAAAACAGATATGTAGGTACTGTATAACCGTTTAATCATAAGTTAGTTTGTAATGCATTTTGTAATAGGGCATGAAAATATAATTGTGTTGACAATTTTAGAACATTAAATACAATGAATAACTGAAAATTTAATAACAAAATCAAAATTGTTAGAAAAAATAAGATGAAACCTATACTTGCAGTAGTTATTAACATTTATTGCATTGTATTCTCTCACCTGACCTTCAAAGTGCTGGCTTTATTTTTTTTTTAATAACAAACTATTATGTAAGAAAACTACATCTCTGAAAACTTACCTGAGTACATTTAACTAGTTTCCTTTTACTAATGCATAAGCTGACAGAAATGTAAATGAGAAACTTTGTTCTAAGGAAGACCGAACTTCAAGGCCTAACTTTAATATTTAGACCTTGTTCTAAGATGTTCTTTGTATGGTATACATTTAGTCCAGTGTTAGTCCAGCTGAGGAAAGAGAAGGGTCTGGTCAACGACACTAGAGAGATGATGCAGAAGCAGGTCATTATCCTCCTCAGAAAAAACTAAGGTCAGATATGTGGAGATGAAGGTTGAATTAACTGGACTGGCAGAAAAAGAAAACAAACATTGACTTCTGTTTTCCTGCTGCAGCTCGCTAAGGACGAGCCGCTCTAGGGTACAAAAGGACTTTCAAGACAAGCTTGAAGCGTCAAACTCACCACCAGATGCATCACATTTGAGATGACAACCCCATGCTCTGACTTGACTGCTGGCCCACTCAAACCAATCCATGTGCGCTATTAGCAATGACTGTTTAAGTGCCAACACCTGAAGATGATTGCCTGATAAACTTATGAGGGACTCAACAAAATGCAGAGGAAAGCTGCAGTTCCTCCTGGCCAATGTAAGGCTAAATTGAATCTGTAGTTGCTGACAAGATTAACATTATTGCCAGGAAGCTTTCTCACCAAGTTGTAGAAAACAGTCTTGCTTTTGAAGTCGCAAAAAAAGCTTCTATAATTCTGTCTAAACCTATTATAGTTCTGTGATTTCGAAAAGTTTATTTTCTGATTTTTCTCTTTCAAAATCATTTTTGGTGTTTGTTTCCGCTCTTCATTCTGTAAATGTTTTCAGCACATTGTTGTTGAGTAGAGATAAACGTATGAAACATGATGTCAATCCTCTTTTCTCCTCTCTTTTTTTATCCATGACAGCGAAACTTCCCCACCGCATGATGATGCAATAACTTTACTTGGCACTTGTTGTTCTTGATTCTTCTAAATGTACCTCCTATCACAGAGTCCTGGGATCTCCTTTTTGTTTCCTCTAAGGCCCTGTCCTTGTGTACCAGAGGAACATTTAGTTTAGTTTAAAAATTGCTTCACCTAAAAAGGGGTGTGTAGAAGGGGTGTCCTCACAATCTGATAGATTTAAATTTTTTGAAGGTAGAATTGTCTTATTTGAAAGTCAAAAAAATAGCAGCTGACAGACGCCTACATATGAATAATACATGCAAAAATGAATCAGAACGTACCTTAATGTATGGACAGCACAAACATAGTACTGGGGTATTTCACATTTTCTATGTGAAAAAACCCTGAATGTTTGAAGCTGTAACTAATATACAGTCGTATATTTACATTTATCACTGCTGCTTATCTTTTATCACTGCTGCACTTAATAAAAATGAAAATATCTTGACAGGTGTACTGAACTAGCCTGGTAAACCAGACTAAATGTGAGATTAAGTGTGTAATTTATTCTGGCCCCGATGAATGAGTCATCGGGAGATTGTTGATGAGAACAACCCATTATCTTTCAAACCGCAGTCTGTGCCTATTGGCCAACGCTCTGGCCAATGAGCACAACTGACTGTGATGTAGGAAGCACGACAGGAAGCTGGTGGGGGAGTGAAGACAAACAGTCTGTCGGTAAAAAGGCAAATACGTCCTTCTTAAAAAGGAATGAGCGTAGAGCCTCTTCCTGCTCACGAAAACCCCAAGTCTAATCCTTCCAAAATTTATTCCAAAGGTGAGTCAAAAATCGCCATCAGAGTCAGCCGTCCTCCACACACGACTGCGGTTAGCCCTGGCTGCAGTTAGCCTCGGAAGTCCGCTGGTTGCCACAGTCCTCTCAACTTCGGAAATAGTTTTTTTTAAATTACGCATTAAATCCGTAACTGGACCATATAGTGACGCTTTAAAGTATAAAATTCTCGCCTCAAATTATCTTAAAACGTACTTTCATTGAATAACAGCAACAGAAAAGAGAATTTTTAACTTTCAATGGAGCGCTCCATTGAAAGTTGCTGCTGCCGTATGCTACTGTGGTGCTTTCTCCAGCGTCGTGCAGCTTTGTTGCCACGCCCTCAAAACCCCACCCACTTTGCATCCAAAAATTCAAAACATATCTCTGTGTTGTGATTGGCCCGCCAGTTCTAGGGCCTGGGCATTGATCGAGGCTAGACCAAACTCGCAGGCCAAAATTATTTTGGCCGCTGGCGGGTTTGGGCTCGTTTACTAGGCTAGTAGTGAACGAAATTTCTTTTTGTATACACTCTGTGTGAACAAAATGACAATAAAGTCTGACTAAGTCTAAGTTTTGTTGTCTAATGCAATTATTTCTCTGTCAACTGACTGGAACAAAATATGTCACAACATCAAAACATAACAGTAAAACTGGAGAGTCATTCTATTAACAAGCAGATTGCTTGGTGTGAAAATTGTAATGTTGCAATAAGGTTAAATGTCCTTTACAATTATTGCCATCTAATGACACACTTATCTCCCTTGAGGCTTTGCTTTGACAGATTATATAACTCTAAAGTGGCGAGAAGAGGATTATTTTCTTAATAAGTAATTTACCTCTGGAATAACTGTATTTGCAGGCAGAATTTAAGAAGCTAAGCATTTAAAAATGTAATGTACAGCATTGACAACAAGATACCTCCAAAGATGTCCTTTGCTCATCTGCTGTTGGTATCTCTGTGCAGATATGAGCCAGTGTTGGCAGAATACGACTCCCACCATCACCGCTCTTCTCCAGCTGATTGACAGTCTGACAGGTGAAAGCGATGAAGCAGCTAATGGTATGTCAGCAAACGTAAATCCAGACTAACGCGTGATCCAATGGAAAAGCAGATTTAGTAGTGCTACTTGAATGCCTAGGTCAGCCACCTTCATAAGTGGGAGACTTGATAAAGTGCAGTTTGCATATATCTGAGTCTATGCTACAGTAGGTCAGCTCCTGCTTCTATAGATAATATATAATAATAAGTGGTGTCCTGATCCAGGTCACTACAAAAAATGGCACAAATCCATGACAAGCCCAGATCTACAGTAATGCTTGTTGAAAGTCAGTATCATGACAAGCTGGCTAAAGAATGTATGAAGCTCTAATCAGTAAATGTTTTGAAATCCTCAAGTCAAATCCACCATAGCACAACTGTCCTCTGGTTCATTTTGTTTACAAATACATCACATTGTAGCCAAAATCAAAGGAAAATATTTAATTTGGTTGGCATACACTATACAACACACAGATTTCCTGCATATTTTTAATGTCAAAACCCTACAGTTGTACAGACTCTTAATCCAGTAGCTCTAGGTCTAGTCAAAGGATGAATGGAAAACAGTGGAAATAGGAATGTAGCTAGAAATAGAGATAGTTCACCCTTCTATGTTTTCCAGACTTAGTGAAACTGTGTTCTGCAGTGTGGGGCTACATCACTTGACAGAGACAGATAAGGAGCTCTGTCTTTCACTAACAACATCAGTGCAAAGTTTTAGACAAATTCATTTTTAAATTATATATATAATAACTGCATTAAGGTTTTGTGAGCAGAGTTGGAAAAGAGGTCCAGAAACATGACTAGGCTACATAAGTTCTGTCAGGAAGAAAGGACCCAGATTCTAGCAAACTACTGCAGGAGACTTTTGGAGGATGCCTTAAAAAGTCTACATCTCTACCAAGTATTAAGTAGAAATGTAGTTGTTGGGTAAACTTCTGGATTTCAAGGACAGAGAGAACTTCCTGACTGTTTCACTTTTTGAGATTTAGCTATTTGAAATGATACTGTATAGGTTAATAATTTCCTGCTTAGACAGATATTTATTTGTCTCCTTTACTGTAATATATTAAAACATTTTTATACAATATGTGTATATATCCAGAGTTTACATGTTCTCCCTGTGCATGTGTGGGTTCTCTCCGGGTACTCAAACTTCCTCCCACAGTCCAAAAGGATGACTGTTATTTTAATTGGCTTCTGTAGATACAGAAAATTGATGGATGGATGAAAAATTTCGATATGGCTGAAGCTAGTGATGTCTCATCATTTACAAACATATGTATGTTGTGATGATGCAGCTGTAAAAAAATCTTCTTTAAACTGTGATTTTTTTGGTCATCCTTGACTGAAGGATTAAGCCTATCAGGCCTGCCCTATGTAACTTGAGCTTAAGTATATTATCTTCTATATGTTATGATCTATAGTAGAACATTAATATTTTAAGTTCCTTGAGGGGATTTTTGACAGAAATATTAAAAAAAAGACAAAGATCCCAACATTAGAACACAAATACATCCATTTTAATTTGAGAAAATACAAAAAGAAATAATGTACAACCTATGTACAAACTTTATTTTTTTTTTTACAAGACAGAATATTTATCATCAGATTATATTTGATAGAGTCAGGTAGATCAACTCAGCACCATCAAATAATCCTTTCCCCTTCATATCCAAACACATCCAAAGTAATTAGAAGGCTATGTCAGACTCCTGTATTCTGCAATGACAATATGCCAACATTTCCTATCTAGGATAATCAACAATAATATTCTGAATTCTTCCTGAAATGATAAAAAGCAACCTTTTTTGACAAATTTGCTGAATGCAACTTTAATGTGTTAAGACTTGAAACGTACCTCCATTTCCCTCTTATGAGATGTATCGAGTACAATCGCCTTTGAATAAAGTATACTCTTTTACAGCTAGGGAAATAACATTAAAACTGAAAATAAAATAAAAATACAACATACTGTCCAAATAGTCATGCATCGTATTCAATCTTTGATGTGTGATGTTTCTTAATGGGCTAGTGTGAATCCTTCAGTCATCCACATCCTACTGCACAGCCTGAGCTGAACTGCTATAAAAGACACTTAAGTATGAAACAATTTCTGTGAATTGAACTTTAGCCAGCCCAAATACCAACTCCTGAATGCCACTTTTCGCTTTTAGTGGGACTTTATTTTGGGACCTCCTCCCGATCTTTACACTGCCTGGCACTATACTGGCATGGAGGCATTAGTGGCTTGGATGTTCTCCATGCCAGTACAAGATACTATTTCTTAGAGTGGAGAAAAAAAAAAGGACTATTGTTTTCTGAGGTTTTTCTGGATGACAGAAGGATGACTGCTTCATGGCACTTAAACAAAAAAAAAAAAACAACCTTCGGAGGTATACAATACAAAGACATTTCTGAATTTGAGGGCAACAATTTTGTTTAAAACCTTGGTTTAAATAGGTTGCACAATGGGGGCTCAGGTAGAAACAAACATACAAGTATAGGGAAAATAAATGACGCATTAATTCATGTGCTGTCAGTTTGAATTATTAAATCCCTTAACGTGTAAACAAATAAAAGGCAGTTGTGACAGTTTGTGACAGATAATGACAAGCTAACAAAATGGAATGTAAACCTTGGATTACAAAAAAGTAAAACCCAGGAAAGCTGAAGATGTTCTGCCTTTTGATGACAGTTGCTGAATTGGTGCTACCTTCCATTCTAGGTGTTTAACTAGATCTGACTTTCTTTAAATAATCTCTGCATTATTAAATATAACCCAAGATCTTATTTTCCTTATCTTTAAGATATACTGTAAGTTGTCAATTCTGTTTGAGTCATTGTCACAGTATTAATTTCTTAGCATTCAGGCGACGAGTAAATCTGCTATAAACAATCCAATTATACAAATATTTTTCTCACATTATTATTATTTTTTTTTCATGAAAGGAATCTATTTGCTACAATGTGTGACAATGATGTAATCACAGTTCCAAAAGTTCACTTCAGGACGATGTGTATGAAGCGCCAGTATAGTTACATCCAATAGACAAACACTGAAGCTTGGATCATTTCGTTTGAGAAAGACATGTGGTCTATATCATGGGTTGAGTTTACACAAACATATTTTGCACAATATTTTTCATTTTATATTCCAAAACAGTATCCTATGCTTAGAGTAACCTTTCCTCAGAGAAGAGAATCACTGCAGTAAATAGACAGCATCTCCAGGCCATATTTATTTACCTTATTAAATTATTCTGTCTCATGAAAACACGAGCACACTGTGCCGTGATTTTTCGCATCCTCTTTCCCCACACCGGAGACCTAATTTAGGTCAAACACGTCTCCTGTAGGTCAGTTAGTTCTGGCCTGGGCACAGTGGGAGCAACCTTTTCTTCTTAGACTCTTCATCATCAATCCAGTTTCTCAATTCCACCCCCTAAGAACATAATTCGCCTACATCTTACCCTTACACATTGATTCGTAGACACAATGCAAATAAACAATGATTAAGGTGAACTCAAGTTCAGTTCTGCATGCACTCCATGGAGCGGAGCTGAGTTCGTTCTGCTCCAGAGTGATGTAGTCCGTTAGAGGGTGCAGGGGTTGACTGAATTTAATACATTGTGAAAATAAAGTGATCTTTTAAACACAAATTTTTTGATATGTTAAAGGTTATGACTATCTCAAAAAGCAATTTATTCTAGACTCTGTATTAGAAAAATAAATACAAATTGGCTATGTTTATGCATATAAAATAAAGTTTAAATATATAAATCCACCAAGACATTTCTGTAGGTTTTTTTTTTTACCCCATAAGTGCTGGATTTGGATCTACAGGTGCCCACAGGCTGGCATTAAGAACAAAAAACACCTCTTTAGCGTTCTTTAATGCTGTTTGTGGACTTGGTAAATTTCCTCAACTATGATTGTCTTGTAGGATAGAAACAGCTGGTTAACTCCCAGGGTCTTTGAAGTATGTGATATCTGGATTGGCAGCAGAGAACATCCAAGCTTTAACTGCCTCTGTGCCAATCCTGTACCAGGCAGTGACTTTGATCAAAGGAGGCCCATTAATGCCCACTTTTATGCACTATGTGGCATTCACTTTCACAGAGACAAACTTTAAGGTGAAAAAAAAAATATGACATTCTACTTTGTGATCCCTGTTGTGCCACCTTTATATGGCAGCATGTTTAGGAAGGCCAACCAGCTGCCATCCATGCTAGATCCAACATAGCTGAGGAATATTTGCCGATCCAAATCCTTTAGTTGTTATTAGTGTTAGTAGTCTTATTTTAGTACTAAGATAGTTCATGCTGTTCCCTCCAGAAAGCATCAATGCATACAATCCAGTTAAAATGGATGTTTACAGTGATAAGCATGACTCAGGAGAAACACGTGGCTGCACAGGTTTACTCACAGAACTGATTATGTGACAGAGTGAACAGGCTAGAAAACCTTTCTATGTTTTCAGGCCAATCAACCACACTATAAAGTTTGTGCTAATGGCCGTTTTTGATGTGGGTGAAATGGCCCACTGCCAATACAGCATGCCAAAAGAGGACATCACAAACACTTCGTGGCAGGCTTGGGAAGTATGGATTTCTGTTGTAGATTTGCATGTCCGGTCAATTATTTATGTGTGCAGCCCTGTTTTTGCACAGTGTAAAAGCTCTAAGTTAAACATTTATGATTAATTACTTTTGTTGCCATTAAATTAAAAGGCAATTTCTTCATTTTGGTTTAATCTAGATTGCATTTGTTTGAAATTAAAAATTCTAGATCAAACCTAAACAGAAGTCTACTCTGGACAGAAACTCCCTAAATACTGCTTAAATATTCTGAAGGTGCAGAAGGGGGGGCTTGCTCAGTGTATAATTTGTGTAAGAACCGCCACAGTGTGTTATTTAGGAGGATTAGGCACACATGTGAGGTTGAAAGTGAATTTCAGGCTAAGAATTCAACATATCTGCAGAAAGCATATGGGTACAGAGTTGTCTTTCAAAGAAGCATGAACCTTCATTGCACCATTTTCTGAGTTAATAGATTTCTGCTTTACAAGGTGATTATGCTCTGCAGGGCTGGAATGGTCTTGCTCAAAGTGATGATTCAAGGTATATCTGCACACCATAAGCGACAACATGATGGATAACAAAAGAAGAACATGATTAGAATGCATCCAAAGCCCAGCGTCCCTTCTCTTCCCTTTCTTCCTTTTTCACTCCATCCGTATGTAAATCTCCTTGGAGACAATTTACCAGAGGGGGGGTGATGCCTCCAGTTCTTCTGTCAAAAGAGGCTTTTTGTATGTTTTAGTGCAAATAGAAAACAGAAGCAAACAGAAAATACAGTGACGATGAATCCCAGCTGGTTTAGCGTGACACACCTGGGTTGATCTTTGGGAGATGATATTTCAGTTTATCGCTTCAATCCTCATTCTCCAATAACCCACCATCGCTTTATCCACAGTCTCATGAAGAGGTGAACTATTGCAAAGAATAACAGGAAGTACTTTTCTTTTCTTAAAATAATTTTAAAAAGTGCTAGGGGAGAGGGGCTGTACAGTCCTTATTTGATTGTCATTATGTACAACTCTATGGATACATAAATTAAATAGAGTCCAGAGCATGGAAGTAACATTTAGGGTATGCACACAGGAGATCCCTTCTAGTCCGGCCTTCCGTCCAACCCTTGACTGGAAGAAAGAGTGAATAGAAGAGTCTTCAATACCCCTGTCGGTAATATCGTCTCATCTTGTCTATCGATTTCCGCCCGACTCTTCAAGACAGGTCACACAGATGTCTGGTGAGTTATCAAAGAAACCCCCTGCCCCTGTTCAGCATTCATCTTCAACTTCTCTGATTGGTGGAATCAGGCTACTAGTGGATTTGTATTGGTTGACTTGGTTGGCCATGTGTGTGCTCATGGGCTTGATCTGAATGTTCCTCGGATAGGCATTTTCCGGTTCATCTGTAAACCATTTCTTTTCTATAGAGAACAAGGCAGAAGAAGGAGAAAAACAATGTTAGCTTGGAAAGGTTTGCAATTTCAGGTTACTTACAACCAAACTGCCTCAGTTTAAGTGAGATCAATATTGGCATGAAATTGTCCAGTGATTAATCTCTAACTATAATGGTTGTAAAATGAATAGAAGCCAATTTAAAGTTCTAACAGTGGCATACAACTTTGAAAGTGTAATTAATTATGTGGCAGAATTGTCTGCTGTGAAAATATTTATTTCAGTGGGATAAGAGATAGAAATCTTAGGTGTTTCATTGTTACAAATTCAAAGATTCAGTCATGTTGGCAGGCTTTAAGACATCAATCTCTACGAGAGATTTCTGTTTTTACCAAAATACAGAAATAAGAATAGTTTTTGAAAATTAGGTAGAAATAAATTTCTCATTTTAGTTAGGGCTGTGCAGTTACAGAAACACATCCAAATATTGAAGAATATTGTGATGACATTATTTTCTGCAGTTAACCCACATTTCCTTTAGTTTTTATTTTGTTTGTATTGTCGGACAGTGTTAAAAAAGCCTTTTGAATAATATCATAAAACTTTTGCAACATTTCAGGCTTTAAACATAAAGATATAAAACCGTAAATTCTTTGTGAAGAATCAACAAGTAGGACACAATCATGAAGTGAGATTAAATCTATTGGCTATGTTAAACCTGTTTAAAAAATAAAAGACTGAAAATTTGGGTGTGTAAAATTATTCAGCCCCCTAGAGTTAATAATTGCTACACCAGCTTTTGCTGCAATTAAAGCTGCAGGACACTTATGTTTTACATTGAGCTACTGACTATTTTGCCCATTCTACAGCTCAAGCTCAGTGAGGATGGATGGAGCCTTTGTAAACAGCAGTTTTCAGTTCTTTCCACAGATTCTGGACTTGATTCAGATCTGGACGTGGACTTGGTCATTCTAACACCTGGACATGTATATTTGTGAATCGTTCCATTGTAGATTTTGCTTTAAGTTTAGGATCATTGTCTCCATCTCGGTCTCAGGACTTTTCCAGACTCCAAAAGGTTGTCTTCCATAATGGTCCTTTTTGGCTCCATCCATCTTCCCATCAATTTTAACCATCTTCCCAGTCCCTGCTAAAGAGCAGCAGGCCCAAACAATGATGCTGCTACCACCATGTTTGACAATGGGAATTGTGTGTTCAGGGTGATGATTCACTTGAAAAGTGCTCCTTGGGAAATGTTTTTGCATCTAAATCTGGCTTCTGACTTCTCTACAAAAAAATACTCTGACCTACCTGGTGTGCTCCTTATTCTTCATGAATCCTCTGCCCTTTAACCACACCTCTGAGACCATCACAGAGCAGGGGCTTTTATGCGGAGACTTGATAACACACAAGTTGATTCTATTTATTATCATCAGTCATTTAGGTCATCATTAGATCATTCAGAGATCCTCACTGAACTTCTGGAAAAAGTTATCTACACTGAAAATAAAGGGGGCGATTCATTTTGCAGGCCCCACTCTTCAGTTTTGCCGAAATTTGCCGAAAACAATTAAAATATCCAATACATTTTGTTACATTTTATATTTGTGTCCAACTTGTTGATTCTTCAAAACAAAATACAATTATATATCTTTATGCTTGAAGTCTGAAATGTAACAAAAGTTTGAAAAGTTCAAGAGGGCAGAATATTTCCTAAATTCACTGTATGTAGAGATTTCATGCAACAGGGTTGATACTCATTTCTAATCATCTACACCTAAAGCAAGGGGGTGTATAAAGCAGCAATCACATAAAACACTATGGGAATTTTCAGAACGTAGTTGTTTTAATATTTTCACTTTTGTCTTAGATTTCTCTGGACTAGCCATTAGCTGTAGCCTCTAGAACGAGACAGGCATGGATGCAGCGTGGAGACCTCATAACGCTCAACTCATGGCGCTGGTCAGTTGAACTTAAAGCACGACCTCAGTGGCTTAGTTAAATTTTAAAAAATCTCTTTGAACAATGGTCTTGCCACAGTTTTTTCATTGTAAGTTAGAAAAACAAGACTGGAAATTCGGTCAAGTTATGCAGATTTTAATGCTTTTTCAAAGATAAGAACATTGGGGGCGTGGCTTAATTTCATCAGACCAGTGCCATATGATAAGCACAATAAATAGGCAGGCCTCTAGGCTACAGCTATAGACTCTTGTCCAGAACCATCTCTCTCAGCCTCGGCAGATGGTCGCTCACACTGAGCCTGGTTCTGCTGGAGGTTTCTTCCTGTTAAAGGGAGTTTTTCCTCTCCACTGTCGCTACAAACATGCAATCAACCGGTTTTCTTAGATAGAAAACTTAGAATCAATTTGACTGTATGATCTGGTGAATTGCAAAGTGCCTTAGATATGACATGTGCTGTGAATTTGCGCTAAATAAATAAACTGAATTGAGTGGAATTGAACCAATTAATCTGAATTAATACCAAAATTGTCCTATTTAAATCAAAGTCTTAGCTCTCAATGTAGATGTTTATTGATACATATATTTACATTTGAATAAAATATGTTACAGGATAATATCACAAAATGTTAATCAGTACATTTCAAAGGGGTTTTAAAACTGAATAGGATACCTCCAAATTAAATGGATATCTCTAAGCATGGTTAGGAAAAAAAACTTGCTATATTTCCCTTTATTCTACAGTATTTAGAATGTTTACTTTTTATATTTAGTGATTTGGTTTGTAGATCTTACAGTTTACTTACAGATCACAATTTTAATGCACAATGTCTGAAATGTTTCACAGTAATTTTTAACAAGATTTAATGGAATTTTAAAATGATATTTGTTGTTTTAAACAGAATATAGCCTTCTCTCAGTTTCTGAGGTAAAAGAAGGGTCTATTTAGATCTGCAAACAAGTTCTTAAACTCTTCTCTACTTCTAACGTCTTGCTCCCTTTGGGGTTAAAGTTATAACATCAAATTTTAACATTGCAAAGTGGAGCAAACTATGTGCCTGTACTCTGACTCTTGCTCTGACTCTTACACTTCTGTGTGCGCGCATCAGCAGTCTTAAAGCTGCGGGGGTGTGTGTTAGAGAACAGACATTTGATGTGTAGAATTGTGCCTAAGGTGAGGCAAGATGTCTGCCATCTCTCTCCATGGTCTGCTGTTGATACGGTGAACTTACTGATGTTGCCTCTAACCAGCATATCGGGTGCACAGAGTTACAAGGAGAGAACTTACAGGCTCATATCCACCTCTTTAATATAAACTTTAAATTGGTCACACCTCCCACTTTCCTCGTGTGACCGATGGCAAAGGGCTGGACACACTTTCTTTAATTTTCTGTAAAACGGTGAGTAAATTGACTGCATCGGGGGGGTGGAGGGGGGATTTGAATGGGTCTGACCTACATGTGAGTTAACATGTGGGTTTGCACAGCTGAAATCTTGTTACAACACTGTGTTTTAAGCAGCTGATAGTAAAAATACAGTGCTGAAGTGCACTGCTAGGGAACAGGTGTGACATCTTAAAGCCTGCTACTGTACAGGTCGTCTGATAGCATTCAAACAAGAGGGAAGATGCACAGACATACGGACCTTTTGCACAATGCAAATCATCCCAAGTTCAAACAAATCATAAAAGAGGGGCATGGAAAATAATGTAAAGAAATAATGCATTTCAGAGAAAAATAATACTTAGATAATCAAATAAGAGAAATGCACAAAGAAAAGTGGGGGGAGGGTATTGTCTCAGCCTCATGCGATGTGGAAATGGGCCTGATTATGGCAGGTAGGAGCCAGGAGCAGCAACAGACATTTTGCTTTCCACATGAAAGCAAATCTTAAACTGAGGCATGGTTTGCTCAACATCTGAAGAACATGATAAATAAACAAACTCCCCTTGTCATAACTATCCACAGGGGAAATAGTTATGAAGCAAAAACCCCCAGGTAAAAGTTGCTAAGTCATGCAGAATTGTTAACTTGCATACCTTGGCTCATTCTATTCATCCTTGTTGCACTTCAGAAAAAGAGGTAAGTAATCTAATGTAAGTAAGTAATATTTGCAGCAAATACACAACCGACAAAAAGACTAGCCACTCAATGTAAAACTTGCATGTTGTCACTTCTATATTTGGGCAGTTTAATACATCTTAATTTCCAGATGTATTGAGAACTCTTTATCTGCACATTGGTCAATCCTGAGTTTAATCAAAACAAGTCTGCATGCTTTTATTATGTGTCTCTGTTTTGAAATTAACTCAGTTTCATTACTTAAAATATTTTTTTTTATGGAAGAGAAAATGCCAAAAAGAAAATACAGCACCCTTCACAGTTATCAGCTGGCATATCTTAAAATAGGTTAATCTTTGATTGGAGTAGCATAGCGTTAATCAAAGGCCATCACTCTGCCATAACATTGAACAGCCATGTTGGCTGCCTTACTCTTGTTTAGTTAATCAACACTTTTTCAATATATTATTCAATTTCAGACACCAAGGTTTTATAGTTACTGTATGGTTATCTACAAGCTTCAATACAAATTTTAAAAGTATTTAATAATCAATGGAAACTAGATATTTACACTTAATACATAAAAGACTATTTTAACAAATTCCCTCTTTGTGTCTGACTCACTCTATTTTAAATCAGACTAAACTTTTATTGGTTTCTGTCAGTTAGGATTTCCAAAATTATTTAATTTAGCTAAATACCAAAATATTTAACTAGTCTCTTTAAATGTAGACATTTAAATATACTTATGGAACACAGATTATGCTATCATGACTTTTTACAGTGACCTTTTTGTTTGACAGAAAGCGAGGAATCTTGCAAATCTTAGAACACCCTCCCAGCTTAGCTGTTAACACCCTGTTGTGTGGATGTTTTGCTGCAGAGGGACATCAAAAATATATATTTTTTATTATGAGAACAAAGAACTGAGAATACCATAAATTACTTACAATTAGTAACTTAAAAACTGGCTGAGGAATGTTCTGTTTCAATGTTTATAAGACGCAAAGCTTTTATCTTAGTCCTATAGAGAATTTATTGCGGCACAACTGAGAAGGTATAAGCAGTGCAGTCAACAAAGCAGACACAGTAACATCAGTGTGTTTAGTAAACTAATTTTAGGGAGCTTAAAAACATCTGATCTAAGCCAAAATTTTTGTCAAAGAATACACTTTAATTTCATGGAAATCCATTAGAATATATCTGACTATGTTATTTTAATTCATCTAGAATTTAGAAAATAGAAATAATCTTGGTAACACATACAGAAATATTTTACTCCGATTTAATGTTAGGCAGTTATTTAATACGGAGCATATAAATATCTGGCATTTACATACCTTTTTAAAAAAAAAAATTTTTATGGGTTCACCAAAGTCAAGGTCCAAAACTATTCCTTACTTTAATCCCGCAGGACAAACCCTGCCCTTATCAAAGTGTTCAATGACATCCACATAAATGCAGACCGTTAAAGAACCACAGTGCTGGTATTATTGAACCTTAATGCAACATTCAACATTGTTGATTGCTCCAGTTTATGGGCCCGGAAAAATGGGTTGGCATTTCTGCTACACAACCTGACTGGTTTGAATCCAACCAGACAGGGCCTTTTCTGTGTCACTAGATAACTTTACATTAGAGATCACCAAAATCATGTGGTGTTCCAAAAGGGTCCATCTTAGAGCCCCTTTAATTCAATATCTACATGCTCCCCTAACTCAATTCCTAATAACCAAGAACATAGTCTAAGTTCATAGCCATGCATATAACACACAGCTACACATCATGAGGTCACCAGGTCACTAAGAACCCATTCAAGCACCGGTTAAGTGCATAGAAGAAATCAATGCAAAAGATCATCAATTGCTAAAGAAAAGATGCTAAACTTTTCTTAAGTTGCTTTAAATTGAGATTAGAGTTCCATTTGTTTAGAGTGACAATTGACTATGCAATCTAAAAGTAATTAGTTCAAGTTTCTAATCCAATTCCCTTTTATTTATAATGGGTAATTCTTGTATTCTATTTTATTATCTTGCAATGTACTTTTTCTTATGATGTACAACACTTTGACTTGTCTTACTACTGCATTCTACAGTATTATATACCTAAACTTGCCTTAAATGTTCTTGCCTTAATCCCATGTTCTCTCGTCCTTCCCAATTTGAATTATTTAAACAAAATATTCCTGTGTAAATTCTTAGTCTTCAAAGAGGATGACCAAGAAGTCATCATTCCTGATGTAAATTCTTGGTCCTCCCCCGAGATAACTGAGAATTAACATCTGGGGGGATGGCTGACTAGGTGGAGGATTAGGGTTCGGAGGAATGTGGTTTTAGCTTCCAACCATCTACATTTTCATCTAGAAGACTTCAAAAACCCAAGAGAATGAAAGGTGGATCTTTGATTTGTACTTGTCTCGGAATGTGCTTCGGAGGAGAGACCTCCATGTTGCTTTTTGGCAGATTCAACAGATTGCTCTTGTGCAAGTCGAAATCATTGACTCTGGAATAGGTGTCAAAATGTCTTCAGAAAAAACTGAGCAAAAGTCCAGTTTGCGTCTGATCTAAGCCTGTTTTGTGGCTAAGAAAAGTAGATTTCTGTGTTACTTCATGTTTATGTTCAAGGAACACTATGGAATTCTTATACTATTAACAAAGATTTCTAGACACTGATTAAATCTAAAAAGTGAAATGCAAAGTACAAGTTACATTCATTTTAAAGGAATTGTTTAGGCTGTTAAAAGTTTTGGCAACAGTTTTTAAGACACATACCTTAATGTGGAATGAATAAAACATATTCAAGTAATATTAGTTGTTCAGTGGGATTATGCTACTCCAATAAAAGGGTTAATATATGTTTTCCCAGGTGTGTCGATAAAAGTGGAAGGTGCTGTATCACAAGTTAGGATCTTTTACTATACTTATATATTAATATTTTAACCAAATAATAAACAGAACAGGAACGAAAAGCCTGATCAACAAGGACATGCAAAAAAAAAGCACTACAGATGCACCATGAGTGAGAAAATATCAACACTGCTAAAAGTGGATGATCTTATGACGGAAGCATTTCCAAAAGCCATAGTTTCTTTCAACTCGATATATCCGACCAAACATCACAATACAAAATATCCATGATCTAGGCACTGATCATGAGCACAAATAATTACCAAACAAACTTTACAAACACCACAAATACAACAAATTACACAGGTAGACCAAACAACATATTATATATCATTGCTACTTTTTCACTGTAAGCTGGTCTCCAACAACAGTGTCATCCAAGCAGGAAGGCAAATCATATACTGGGCCAAGAATCAATACAATAGAAGTCGAATTGTTTTCTGGCGGTTATTGATTAGGTGGTATTCTGTTATGATCGTCAGTGATCTGAGTGAAAACTGCATGCAGATGATTGTGAACAAAAAATAAAAAAAACAGCACAAACCAGACATTACATCACATCTGTCATCACAGCCTGCACACAAATACACACACCTAAAAAACACAGCTCACATATAGATCACTTAACATGCAGAGTGACACCACACACAGCATGTACAATAAGAGCACCTACTTCTGTTTTTCACGTGCCTCTCTGCTCTTACTGCTGCGGTTCTGCCTGTTGGAGGGGGGCACAGAGTGTACCGAGGAACTCTTTTTGCTGGAGGAATGGGAGGAGTGGGAAGAGTGGGATAAGCTTGTCCTTGACTGGCCGGCGTTGTGGTCAAACTGCATTAGGCAGAAGATCAGGTCTGAGGGCACCAGCTCAAACTCGTATGGGGGGTTTGTGATCACATATCTGCCCAAAAGACAAACATTGTCAAGACTGATACTCAAATCATTTTAATCTGAAAGATTGTGGTTTTTTGCAATCATAAAATTCGGATACTTTACCGTTTTGTGCACTGACTTGGTGTACCGAGGTGAGCGTCTCTTAGTCTGTAGATCCCAAAACACAGCATGTTGTAGGTTTTCAGGGCTTTACAGAACAGGTCGCCGTAGCAGCCACCATCCTGATAAACAAAATAAAAGGGTGTTAGCTCAGGAAGTCTTTCCATGTCAGCAAAGATATTTTATGCTTATCTTCTTCAGATTCAAAGTTAATGCCAACTTTTACCTCTGGAGACTGAAGCAATCAGCATTGTGACATAATTTATTGTATAAAAAAAAAAAGCAGCTCTGAGTAACAATAAAACCTGAGTAACAATAAAACCTGATAAAACTAGTTGGAAGCAATGTTTCCTTTATAGGACTCTTGTCCCCTTTGAAGTGTTCGCCGCCTACTGAGGCCTGTTTTTTTGTGATTACTTTTGTTCACATAGGATTAAGGATTGTGATGAACAGCAAAGGCAGCCAGATGTGTGCTGCCAGGTAATGCCGAAATGTTGTCATTTCCACTCAAAGCATTTGCTTACCCCTAAGTCAGCAAACGGGCCATCATACAGGGCCAGCTGGGCAACGCGACACCTGTCTCTGTTGGCAAGCGTCTGTGGCGTGCTGTAGCCTCCTCTGAGAGCGTTTTCCTCAGCTAGCAGGCCCTCGAGCTCTGGCGTGGCTCCTCCAGTGACTAGTGTCCGGATTAGTGTGAGAATGTTATCGTTGAAGTATGTCTGGAGAGAACACAGATGGGATTTCGGTTAGAAAGAAAGACTCCCCCACTACCAGATGAGGTGTTAAATCAGAAGAAGGGTAAGAAACAGCCAGTTATTTTGACCTTCACCATGTCTAATAGTAAAGATCTGAAAAAAAAAATGAGCTAATGTGGTTAGGGAACAGTATTTTTCACCCGTCTTTCTTTGAATGAAAACTTAAATATGTGTTATTCTCAAATTATGTCTATCACATAAAAAAAATAATTAGCTTCTGTTTCTTTTAGTGTACTCTTCATAGAGCTGGTTTAAGAAAAAACATAAACTAAGCACCTATATAGGACCCTACATATCATAAAGTGGAGCAAGAAGATTCACAGAAGTTGAAAGTCCCACTGGGAGAATTGGAGGTCATAGAATAGCCCAAAAGGTCAGTGTCAAATAAGAATGCCTTGCATATAAAATGCAGTAGATAGCCAAGTCCAAAGTATTCATTCCTGAATCTCATTAAACCACTGTCACACAGTGTTTTCTAAAATCAGTTTGCATTTTCTTTTCAGTCAGTGAATGCATTAAATTGAGAGAACATATTTCATACTTTGCTTCATCAACAACATCACTTCTAAATCAGCAAATCCAATGGCTATTGCACGTTGCACCGATATCGCACTTTACTCAAGTGTTACCTGGGCTACAAATTCTATGGACATCAAAAGCTGAGCAATAAAATCAAATTAACTTTTTTTCCCAACATATTTTATTTGAAATAATTGACAAATATATCTTTGAATCATACAAAAGCAAATGTTAAGAGTCATTTTTGATATCAACAAGTTGATCATTCCTTTTGCTTATCTCTCTGCCTTTGTCAAAAATGTATGGACTTTATAATTGTCAGAAAATACTAAACTCTTCTTTCCTCTGCATTGAGTATGAATTTAAACACTTTAAACACTGTATGATTAAGGAAAATATCAGAAAGAGATGCCAGAAGGTGCTGATATTAAATCAGAATAAATCCAGATTTAGACAGCGTATGCCGGACGTCCCAGAATCTCCTAAAATGCTGGCATATGCTGAACTTTCTATGTGTTTTTTCAATTTTGGGCATAGCATCAGTAATAGCTGCTCCCCTCAGCCACATCGGTGCTCCTGAAGGGAACAGTGATACCCCCGGAGGCGCCCAGTCTGCGTAAAAAGATTGCCATATTAAACTAGCTGCTGTTTATACCTGCCAAAAAAATAAATAAAAATAAACAAATTAGGTTTGCAGTCACAGCAGATTCAGCGTCATGTCTGCTGGGATGTTTGTTGGTCGTAGTCGCGCTCACCCTATGATGATGAAGTCTAGAGGAGAACTGACTGTTTCCTCCTGTGAACTCTTTTATACCAAAATGCCGCTAATACACCATTATACAGTAGATAACATAATAAAAAGATAGTTAGAAGTTATGCACAAGTTACTCATAGGTTTTGGATAAGCTAGACACCTAGACTCATGAGTAACTTACACTTAACGCATGTCAACGATCAGATAACCTGTAACTACTGCCCAACGTATGAGCATACGCTGGCATACCTCGGGAAATTTTTGAGAATGCTCAAAATTTCTCGACATATTTGCCATATGTTGATGTGTACCAGCGTGTTTCAGCGTACCTCAGCGTGCTCATAACTTATACAGTACAAAACTGAGCCATAACTTATCCAAGAAATGTCAGCATTTCTGGCAGAATTTTCTTACGTCAGACATACGCTGGTATAAATCGTCAATATAGCCATAGGTAAAGCTTTACGGCTTTACCTATGGCTAGCTGTCGCTCCATATTTAGATAAGCTTAGAAAAGTTTGCTTTTCTTGCTGTTGTTACTTCTAGGAAGAACAGCGAGAAAAGAACAGGATCCAGGAAGAGACTAGCCCTGTTCTGTAACAATGATCTGAATAATGGTGTTCTCCAGTGTTCTCCGTGTTCTTTGGGGGCTTTTTTGTTTGTTTCCTTTCTAAGTTTCCCTGCTTTAACAAACCTGATTCAGATCATAGCAATTCTAAAATCCCTTTAATACCGTCAAAAGTTGAAATCAGTTGTGTTGAAAAAAATGACAGATCTAATCTGCAGGACAGGCATTGGACACCTCTATCATATACCATAATATTCCAAAACTCATTCAAGCCCAGCTCCTGTTCCATCTTCTCCTTCTCAATAACTCACACAAGATGGATTACAGGTTTGCTCCAAGGGAGTAACAGCCCCATCTCTCTTTATGTTTATGTGCAGGCAATATGGATAGATTTCCATCCTTTCACAATTTTCATTACACACACTTTTACATTTTTGTTAATCATGACATTGTTTATTCAATATCAGTCATTTCAGTTTGTTTATATAGTGCCAATTCAAAACGCAACTTGAGGCACTCTACCAGAGACATTTAAATCAGATCATACAGTCAAATTTCTTAAAAGTGCTTTATCTGAGGGGAACCATCTGATTGCATCAACTCATTGACTTTGCAGGCTACGTTCCTCCTGATAAGTCATTGCAACAGAATTTAGTCCAGATACATATTTGATGATGCAAATCTGAATGAAAATAATGATGGGTAACCATTTGTTTTTAGAGGTGAAAATGATTAAATGGCTATAAATGTGTTCCATAGTGGGAGAGTGGCTTGTTATTTTGTGTGGGCTCATTGTTGAAACCAGAAAAGCCCACAAGTGCGCTCACTCAATTGCAAGTTCGTACACGCAGGGAATTTTGTTCTTTGCACATTAAAACAACGTGTGGTAGTCTTAATAGAAAAGATCATAAAAAATGTTACAAAGCTTTTTTTACTCATTTTCCCACAACAGGGATTCTTATCTGACCATCACAAATGTCAGTATATTCCATTACCGGTATTGTGAAGAACCAACATTCTATGTGCAAAAATACCTGTAAAGAGGAAAGGAACAAAACAAACCACCTTCTTATATGCCTTTAATAGTTCCCCTGGATTGCCTCTGGCAAACAGAACTTGGGTTCATTCACAGCGAGCTTCCCTCTTCCAACTCCTACCTCAAAGCCAGTTGTTTACAGTGAATTTGATTTAGCTGTGTCAGACTAAAACCAGCGGCTGAATGAATATGCATGCCACATATTTTTTTAAATAAAGAAAACTAAAACTTTCTACACTTTTTCTACTACATTACAATTCTAATTTATTCATCCTATGTCTACAAAACTGATCAATATCTATTTTTTTCTTTTCACATCGAATACAAACACCCATCTGGTTTCACAGAGTTTTTACGAAATAAAGCAGAAGTACTTAAACTGTTCTTCTGTGAATGCTGTTCTACACACTGAACAATATCTCTGTTCTCCTTAGGGACACCAGTTTGACTGCGCTCTCTAGGTGTCTGGTTCACTTGTCCTTCAAGCTGTTCGTGCCCAGCTTTTTCCTTGTGCTAAGACAGCCGATGTCACTCGGCAGCGAGGCCAGAGTGGCAGCACCTCTCTCTGGGCCCCTGACAGGCCTGCAGAGCTTCATGATGGATGAGCAGTGTCCATTAGCCGGCTTCACCTCTGACCACTTTCAGACTAAAGCTGACGCCTGTTTTACTCCCCGCACAGCTCAGCACCACTCGGCCTTCTAACCTCTCATTCAGCCAAAGGACTGCAGGAATTAAGTCATCACACCAGTGAATGGGGAGGGAAAGAATTATAGGTGGTCATGAGATGCAGAGGAAAGAATTTACAAAAGATTTTCTCCCATCACCTTTTTAATTTCATCCATGGTGATGTGATTCTGTTGTCAAGATGATGGAAGAGGGTTTGTAAGTCTATCATAGCTGGTGTCATCCCAATTATAAGAATCCTTAATAAAGTTCATGATATCTATATTGCAAATGTTGTTTTAGACCCCAAAAAGCTGGCAGCAGAATCAATTCACCAAATCTCCCAGGCGCTAGAAATGCAATGTATTGGCAGCATTTTACTCTAACAGTAGTGTCTCTCAAGTTCAGCAATTTATCTTCATTTTATTTTATTTTTTTTAATTAATTTTACTTTGAAATTGCTGTTACAGACAGTACAAGATGGCACAATAGGCAGTAGAAAACCCTGACATATTTTATCCCAGAGGTTTAGCAGTGTTTAAAAGCTTACCGCACTCATTAGGGAGTCGAGTACACTGATTGCAAAGGCGGTTCCGCAGGCAAAGGGCTGAGTCAGGTAGAGCTCTGTGTCTGGGTCGTCATCATCATCCTGGTCCAGGAACTGAACGTTTGAGTCATTCACTGAGAGACAAAGGAAAAGGCTGAATTACAAAAAGTCAAACTGAGGGCTAATCCGAACAGACATATACCACATATATCTAAGAATTCATAAATGTATGACTCTTAGTTCACCTTTACTTTAGGTATTTTAGTTATATTAGAAGAGTGTCCTCTTTTAAAAATCCTAAATTAAAACATGAGGGAAAAAAATCTACTAAATGGCTGCAATTATCTAACTTTTTTTTATGAAGCGTACCTTCAACAAATCCCTTTGTGTAGACAAACAGAATAAGAGCAGCAGTAGTAGTAGCATAATCTCACATCAAAAAAAGCTGCTGCAGTTTTCTGACACTGCTATTGATTTTTTTAAAGTCTCAATCACTGTCACCTTCATTGTGTGTGAAGGCAGTATAAACTCGTATGGTTTGATAGTTACAACTTTTGCACAATGGAAAGAATAAATTAATTATTTCCCTTATTTAAATTTATATTTAGGAAATAACTTTATTGAAGTCTTAATATTTCCAGACCTCTTCAAACCGTTTAGGAACCATGAAATTGTGTCATAATTCAGGCTCATTTGCTCAAGCTGCAGATAATTTAAACTTTTTATTCATTACTCTGGTGATAGATATAGCTAAGTTTGAACTATTTTAATTTCTTGGCATATAATGTTAAACGCAAATTTGCCTAAATGAAATAGCCAAGCATATACTCTTAGTTTTCCTGGTTTGAGAGTGGCTTAAAGAAATAGGTCACTGTTTAAGATCATATTTCTATTACAGGAAAACAGGAAGTCCTAAGATATAAGTGCCTCCACTTTTAAAAGAACTATGAGTACATTTATTATGTACATAAACATACTGTTTATGAATAAGCTCTTCCTTCACTGAGCTTAAACAATTCAAAGAGCTGATTCTCTTTCCATTTTTCATTGTGAGATTATGCTGCTGCAAAAAAATCTGAATTAATTTAATGTGTTTTTATGTCTTGTTCAGAGGCTCCAATAGATGTAAAAGGAGCTATGCATTTATGATATTTTGAATCTTTAATATGAAGGAAGGCTTCCTTTACATACTTTAACATGCAGGACATTTTCACATACAGCTTTAGAAATGTTTTCTTTAGGTATTTCTCAACAGCATTTAAATCATACAGAGTAGTAGCCATTGCAGAAATTATGCCACTTTTAGTACTCTTTGTTATTTTATATATGTATATATATATATATATATATATATATATAGATAGATAGATAGATAGATATGTATATATATATATATATATATATATATATATATATATATATATATATATATATATATATATATATATAATAGAGAGAGAGATATGCTCTTTTTTGACAGATGTAGAGATAATGATGGCAAACTTCAAAGCTTTTAAACTGTGACTTTAAAAATGGCTATTACATCACATAATCACATAAGGACAGCATGCATTAATAAAATCATGCTTTTGTTTGAAGAGTTTTCCTTGATGGATGCGTTTGTCACATCATCATTATCTGAGAAACTTACATGTTTACCAGTTCCCTGAAATTCAAATTAAAGTCAAGTGACAACACAGTTTTACCACATCGACATCAGGTGTAGACGTGTTCTGCTGAGTGAACTGAATGGCTTGGTGTAAAAAAAAATAAATAAAAAAAAAAACAGCTTTTCACTGTATCCTTTTAGAGGCAGTGTTATGGGTTATTGGTTGAAGTGCCAACATTACAGGCTAATCTAAATAAACTAGAACATCACCAAAAGTGACTTTTATTCAAAATTAAGCTTCCACATTGCAGTATATACATTTCTTACACACAGATTTGTCGGAGTATCATCTCTGTTGGTTTTGACTTATAGGTCCATGAGTGTCAAAATGTTGAAAATCTTGGGTAAATTAAAAAACTTACTTGCAAAAAATATATTTTTCTGTTCAGTATAGTTCTAGCCATCAGGGTTTACTTAACACAAGAAAGATTAAGGCACAAAAGATCAATGAAAAAGAAGCTAGTTGGCTCACAGAGTGCTATGTACAAGTATTTTAATTTAAAGTGGGTGGAAGGAAAAATTGTGGTGAAATAAAGCGATTACAAGCAGCTATCACTGCCCCATAAGGATTTTAAAGTAAAACCCATTTCAGATTCACAATGTGTCGATATTCTGCATATACTTTATAGTACATGTACATAATGTTAAGCTGGCTAAAATATCTGTATTAAATGAAAAAAGGATTTTTGGTTTAGATTAATTTCTCGAAAAGTACAAATCTGTGTGAAATGAATCTGTATAATAAAAATGCTAATTATTTCTATGGAGACAATATAAACATTTAGACTGATAATGATATCAGATATTAATACAGTTGACATAATTTCTCTGGTCCAGAAAGACACTGCAGAGCCCCCATAAAAAAATAAATAAAATAAACATATGGCAAACCCACTTTTTTCCGTGTCCCAAAACACATACATACAGAAATGAATATTGGTCAATGATATGAGCCCAATTTTACATATAGTGCGTAACCACTACAATATGTCAAAAAATGACTACAATTGTCTGAATCTGATAATAATTCCAATATATCATGCATCACTGGTTGTTTTTCGTCAGATTTTCCACATTTTATCACTGGTTTTCTATACAATGTGGCACTACAATGTCAGTCAAAAAGAATATGAACCAAATAGGCCTCGACCAAAGGAGTGAAAGGTGAGTTGGTGGAGAGGGTGGGGGCAGCCTGGCGTGCAAGAGATAATGTAGAGTAACCGGAGGAGAACAAAGGTGCAGAGCAGCATGTTGCTATGAAAACAGCCACACAGATGTCCATGATCAAAGGCCTAGTGATGCACTCCAGACAAAAAAGGGGGAAAAATAATTAAAAAGAATGTCAATTTCAACAATTTTTTTGTGTTTTTTAAGTGCAGCCATGGGAGCAACGGTAGCCTTGAGTGCAGCAAGATAAATCAAGACAAGCTGATGAGGAGACGAGCAGTGGTGCAAGGGACTAATGGCAGCAGCAGACAAAGGCTCAGCTTACCCAGCTCTGTTATCATTTGTATGCTGGTTCCACTTTTTTTTTCCTGACTGAGAGAAACCAGTGGCAATATTTTGCCAGGTTTAGCTAATGGTGATGAGACAGTACAGAGGAGGAGAGACGCTGTTATTGAAACAGGTTCAAACGCTTTTTTTTTTTTTATTGTCTCAGTATTGTTGTGCCGACTCTCATGGTTCTCCAATGTCTAAGGATTAAAGAGCATATCAAATCCATAGGTGTCATAGCACTAACCAGTTAAAACCACAGTCATGTTTATCACAGTAGCACAGTGCAAGGGATAAACAATGTCTTATCCACTAACAAACCTTCTTCACACACCATGCAAACAAAATTGATCATGCACCTTTGATAGAGACTGTTTTTCATTTGACTTAGCTTTAATCTGCTCTTGGCTCTGTAACTTGAAGATATGACAATGTAATTACAGCATATGGTACTAGTGTGACATGCAGCCACTCTCCCCTCTCTCTGCTCGTTCCTCAACTATAGGAAACAATGTTATCACGTCTTGAGTTGACGCTTGCCAGAAAGCATGTAGCAACACAACGCCAGTGCTTGCTACCACTCAAGTATGGGACTCCAACCCGACTATCTGGTTTGGGCGATCATTTGAGTGGTCAGCAAGTGTAATGGGAGAACCTCACTTCAGGAACTGGGCATGGTGCAAGTAGCATTAGGTAGCAGCTTTCTCTTTCTGGTCTTTTTTTCACTGGCCTCATGCTCCACTGCTCCCTAATTGGGTCAGGGGAGACAAAGTGGCTGGTCTCTGGTGTTTCAGAAGGCCCTTAGAGATCTGAAAGTTTCATGAGTCCCCATCACCAATGGGAATACAACCAGTGGCATTGTTATTAATAAATGGACATATTTTGCAGCCAAGGCACTTTTTGTCCTCCTACCTTTTCTCCCTCTTTCACCCTCTCCATCCGGCTGAGTTTCCCTTATCCATTAGTGAACAAATTGCAAGAGATGGAGCTTTTGTCCTAAAAGTGCCCGTCTGACATCTTCAAATCAACTTGTCATTTAAAAGCACCTAAGCAAATCGGGTAATGTAGGAAAAAAAAACAAAAAAAAAAACTAGAGGTAGACAAAAATTCCGGACAATGCATTCCTCAGTCAATCAGACACTGAATGAGTCGGAACTTTTGAATGCAGAGTGAGTTGAATTGTTATCAGATCTGTTTGTTGATGTTCTGGGGATGAATTATGAGCTGAGTTTAGTTTACAAGGTATACCATGCAGTATGTGTGTCAGAGGTGGGTGGAAACTGGTTTACCTAGCTCTGTGATGATGGGGATGTTGGATCCGGTGGTTACCGAAGCCTGACGCACAAAGCCATGTACTGGACTGCTGTCTGGAGATGACCTGTCCATTCCAGGAGGCGTGAAACCTGAACGCAACACAAAAAAAGAGAAATGTCTGAATAATTTCTCATCAAGCAAGACAAACCTGTTAATAAACAAAGATTAAAGGACTTTTTTTCAAAAGTCATGTTATTCTGATGCTGAATGAATGCATTGCTCATTTTATGTACCGATAGTTAAATCTTTGTCCTCTTCTCATTTCAATATTGAAGTTTTTTTGCCCTTTAAGGGTAAAGTTAGAAATAAGAAGTTGTTCTCAATATTTTGCTAATGAAATTAAGTTTTATCATTATTATTACTACAGTTTAGCAAAGAATAACAAAAAAAATAAAAATAACACAAGCACTTAAAGAAATATAGTTTTAAAGCTAGAAATGGTTCACACAGTTCTAAAAATGCAACAATCCAAGAGGTCAATAATTTGTCAGCATGTTTATATAGAAACATTTTGGCTAGAAAATAAGGGAAATTATGTATTACAATGCAGAATTCTTTATAATTAAGCATGTCAACTATTAACATAAAAATGTCACCATGACTCAACAAACAGACCATAATATCTTATTCATTAAATTTGACAGCATTTTTTAACATCAGACAAATCAGCTTGTCTGTATCACAGTGTGAGCCCTGCTTGTCAGATAAAACAGATTTATATGGTTTATCGAGGCTTTGTGTTTTATCAGTGATCAAAAACAAATTAATTACCATACATTTATTTGTAGATTTAATAGTTGTGTTTCATTTTTTTCATCATCACATTAATTAACAATGGGGGCCTTTCGAGCTTGGATGTTCTTTTTTTTGTGTGTGTCTTTTTTGATACAACAAATTATTCAGCTTAGAGTGAGTTTTAAGAAATATTTAATTGCCAGCAGTTTTGCAAATGAAAAAGGACAAAAATTGTTGCTAATTTATTTCAACTCAGTCTCAATTATTTTCCATCATTAAATATAAAAAAAGAAGATCTTGAAATTTAAAATATAAAAAATCTTGCAATTTAAAATATAAAAAGTTGAGCACAGCACCACCTAAAACAGAAAATGCATAACTAATACAATAATAATACAGTATTCTAACCCTTTCTAACTACCACATATCAAATCCTTTTACAGAATATTTAAAGCACTGTACATTACAGTTTTACTGTTTTAACTGCTGTGACCTGATTCTTCATTGCATATACCTGTCATAAATGTCAATTAGTTTCAAAGTAGCTCAGCAGCATGCAGGTGCTCATCTTCCGACCAGTTAAACATTTTTATTTTTTTATTTTTACTATTTACTAAACTAATATTAAATGTAGTAAAATGACTGTCGAACAAATGTCAAAATCAACTCTAATTTTCTGATTAAAAAGGGATGGACTAGTTCTAACAATAATACAATTTAGTGTTTATCCATTTGGTGACTGAATAATGTAACAGTAAACTATTAAAGATGTTTGAAAATGTAATTGAAGTATATCTGTGCAAGTTTTGCAATGAATTTGGGAGTTTTCTTGACTAATTAATGTTATGAATATGTATATTTACTTCCCTTAGCAGAAAGTTAAGCTGTAGCACCGAATTTTCAATATAAGGGCATTTATAACAGACTTTTACCTCAAATCTTTGTATTTGTTTTCATGATAACCCCTCACTTAAACTGATGATGCTCGACAGAAACCAGGATTTTCATTTCCATTAGTTGTTTTAAACTTTTAAAATCATTTAATTTTTTATCGTTTAGGTCTTCCATACAGTATTTTTTTTTAAATCTTAAATACTCATACCCTTTATATGCTGCCTTTCCTTGCAAAGTAGTGACTATTTTTTTGATTTAGTAATGAATAATAATAATAAAAAAAAACTGAAGGCAAGGAAATCTACAACAGTATTAGATATATTTTACTGCTAGGGCATCATCTAAACTGCAATGTCAATAAGAACTGTGTGTCTGTATTGTTATACATAGTGCTTACATCAGCTTACTCAACCTTTGGCTTTTATGTTACTTTCAGCACAATTTAAGTGTGTAGATTTTTCAGAAGGGGAAAAAAAGTCAGATAAGTGAACAAGGTGCCTCCTTAAAAACTGCAATAGTTACTGTGCTTTTAGAGGTTAGCAAAGACAAATTTAGCATTCACATCTCTCCATCTATGGGCAAGCATAAATTTTATATGTTGTTCATTTTGTTACGATAAAATTGGTGAAGTGGATCCTGAAAACCTTTTATAGTGCAGCACAGAACCATGAAATATAAGCACAAGTGACAGGAGTAAGAATTCACATGACTTCACATTTTTGCATTTTCTCAAAGTGACAAGTAAACACCCTAAATCTGTAATGCTATATGCATAATGCATCACCTGTGTTTTGACATCCATCATTTAGTGCTGACTACAGCAAAATGTCACCTTATAGTGCCATGGCCATGGAAACATAAGGCAAGGAATATATTCAGGTCACAAAGTTTCAAAACGATTGCAGATTCCGTGCGTGTATATGTGTGTGTGAGTGTGTGTGGGGTGTGTGTTCTTTCCTTGTCAAAAACCTCAATATGCTGCTCACATTACAAAAGAGAGCTTTCAGGCCTTTGAAATGAAAAGATGCGAGTAGTTTAGGATGTGGTAGAAAGCAACACTGAACTGAAGTCTAGTTGATCTCTACATTGGTTATACCAATTATTAAACCAAGTATGACAATGCGAGTCAGCCAGGGAGCATAAGCTCCAACATCAGACCGTCAATATCCTTAAAGCCAAGGAGAGTGATAGCAAGTTAGTTGTTTTTTTTTTTTTGTCTTTGCCTCGTAAATGCTACCATAACAGTTTATCATAGCAAAACTGAAGACAGTGCAAAGTTGTAGAAGAAGCCTCCGATTTGTGTAGCTCAAACACTAGATTCTGATGCTGGTGGGGAACAGGGGCCTACTGCTGTGTTGCTTTCAAAAACATGTTAGGGTTACAACCTAAAAGCTGCAACTCGGTATGAGCTGGTAAGCTCCAGAGAGCCTGATGTCTTTATTGAGAGTCTAAATGTGTTACCTTGTCTTAGCAACCTGCAGTTCTACTAAATTACCTTAGAGAATTTAATCTCAACATGAAGCATTAGCATATTACCCTAAAAAATATTGCATCTTCAGCAAATAAATAAAGTCAAAGGTCTGAGTGCAGAGCCCTTCATAACTTGGCTTCTTAGCTTTAATTAAATTGAATTCTGTATGTTTTTCAAGGACCTCATACATTTCATATCCTTTTTATGAAATTAGCTCAACAAAATATTCTCCCCCAAAGTATTAAAGCAGCTTTATTACACAAAATCCTCTCTATTACATTGTTTTTCATTGTGAGAGGCTGCAAAATGGTGCATCTTGAGCTACTGTCTACTATAGACAAGTGAGATCTGGGTTACATACCCCCGAATCCTTGTTGCCCCGCGGGCACAGCTATGCTCTGTGGTTGACTACATTCTACAAGCAGCGTGAGAAGCTCTCCCCCAGGAAAGCACATGTTTACTTATTCATTTGCACCTTCCAAATTCCACAGATAGGGTCTGAATGGGAGAAAAGCCAGAAGGAAGGAATCCCTGAACAATAGCAGCATTTGGGTGTGTTAGTGCATTTTCCATATTTTGTGTATGCATGAATGCATGTCACTGTGAAAGTGTGTTTTCTTAAATGGATAATTCGTGTAAGACGCAGTTATTGATAACCTCCAGCTCCATGAATCGATCTGGGGAGAGGTGCCACATCCAATGAGCTTTCGCCTAGAGGAGGCTCTCTGTGAGTGCTGCTCCCCAGAGCAACAGCTCTGAGGTTTGCCTGCTGCTTATTGGTCCTTGGTGGCACTGCCACTGAAGGCTAATCACTCACTCGTGGCTGGTAAAAACAATACCACTGCTATTTTAGTTAAACATGTGGAAATGTTTCTTACAAAATAAAGACATTTTTGTTTTTTTATAGCACTTACAACAGTAAAAAGATTAACACAAATCATTGTTCTAAGTTATGCTTTGGAGCTGCAACAATTGAAGTAATTCTTTTGTTTCTTAACCACTTTGTATGGTTTGATGAATTGAATGCTTAGGTGCCTCAAGTGTTGTGAATTCCAACCATCTTCTATTGCTTGTCCCGCTGGGTCATGGTGCGGACAAAAGGCAGGGTGCACAGTGAACAGATAGCCAGTCCATTGCAGGCCAACACAAAGGTACACAACCATAAACACACACCCGAGCGCAAAATAGAGCAACAAGAATCTATGTGAGAGACTCGAGACACCATCTCTGTTGAGTTGGTGCACATTGCGCTGAGCTTGAGGAATGGCTTTCAAGGTAAACATACACTGAGGGGTACCTGTGTGTGAGTGTCTCTGCACAGATTGCCTTGGCATGAATCTGAGTGTGTGTCTAAATGGGTGTAAACACACCCACACGGACGCGAGAAGCGTGTGCCCGCATGTGTCGCTGTTTTGTTGTGACTAATGAGGAGCAGCTGAATTGGCCTGCCTGGTGATTTGTACTAGCTGCTTAATGATGATGAGGCCTGATGGGATGCCAGGTTCATATGTTTGTCTGCAAACATCAACAATCTGTTCCAGACGATCTGCCAGACTCTGTATCGGGGGGAACAACATCAAACGGCACAGTCATGTTGATTACATCATTAAAAAGTATTATCAGAGAGGGTTAGAAGCATTTAATTACCAGAGACAACATTGAAATCATCAGAAAATTACAAGACGTGAACTTTAAAGGTTTGACAAAGCAATCAACACAAGGTTTTCAGTGTGCACATCATCATGAGCTGCATTGCTGTCTGTCTATGGATGATACAGTGGACTTGCATAGAATTTTATTAAGAACATTTAGCACTCTATATTCCTTCCTACAGTGTGGCAGCTTGATCCCCGCCCAATTTTTTCCTCCTCTCTGTTTCCATCCTTGACTACCATCTTCCCTCCCTGCCACTACCTGTCCCCTTTGGGCAACAGTGTACATGATGTCTAATAGGACGCTCCTTACCTTGGGAATTAGCCTGTAAGACCCCGATGCTGTCATCAAACTGCATAGACTTGATGTTGAGTGATGCCAAGATGCATTCCTTATCCTGCAGAGAGGCATCTTCGATATTGTTCTGATTGGCTGACAGTATTACGCACATGTCACAGAGGTTGATGTTGACAGCCCTTAAATCTGCCCGACTTAATGGTGTACCCTTCAGGGTGAGAAGAACACAGAGAAAAAGAGCGAGACCGCCAGAGAGAGGGCAAGAGACAGAGAGAGAGGAAAAAAAATAGAACAGAAAGACATGGGGGAGAGAAAAACAAATTTAAGAAGTGAGCAGAGTGGAGCTTTGGGAAATTAGTTAACAAGTATTCTTGTTTTGAGGCAATGACATTCCACTGATCTAACCAGGCATTAGAGATTCATAGACATGGACTAATATAAAGGCTAGCCTGTGCTGAGGGCTGTGTTTGGGATTCTCCTCTGATCATCAGTCAAGCCTGGCCTAACAAGCTCCAAGGCACCAAGCCATGCCATCTGTGATGGGCACTGCAGTTGCAGCACTCATAAACTCTACTTTGGATATGCAGGATGTGTCTCTGCTCTAGATCAAGGCAGTTAACTGAGCTGTCATGCAGTGATCTTTCAATCAAGCAACGTGTGTGACGGTGTCAAATTGATAGCACTCCCTCAGGATTTCAATATGTGTCTAAATCAAAATGTACCAACTGAGCACTCACAGGTAAGATGGAGACCTTGGGAAAGTTGTGTAAAGTCTCCCACTCTCTCCGAAGGTAATCCAGCGAGCCCACAAACACTATAGGTTTAAGTTCATGATAGTGAAAGTTGCTGGCTCTTAAAGGCATCACCAGGTTTCGCAGCCCCACCAAAGCGGACGTGACATCCCCAAATATACAGACCACTACATGGCCGCTCAGCACAGTCATGGAGGCTTCGCTTCGGGTCTGACGGGAAAAGAAGGGGATGGGTGGATAAGGGAGAGGAGAATATAAGGAAAAGGGGTAAAAAGTGTCACAGAAACAATGATTGAGACTATCTAATTTAGACAGTGTGCTTAAAAATGATTCTTACCAGATAAATAAAGACACTATAACATAACCTTACCCAGATATTTACTGCTAATTTACTGGGTCAGGGTTATGTGTGAATAAAGCAGAACGGATTTACTGGGTAAAACTAACCAGGCAATTTATGGGTCAAGATCTAATAAAGTACCCTCTTATTTACGGGCACACTTATTGTGTAAATAAAGCCTAATATGTTTACGTTGGACAAACATTTACACAAATGTTTGTAGCGATGCATTGCTGAACAACAGTCCTGACTACTTCTACATGTTGTTAACCATTGGAACAGCAGCATCACTGACCAACCAGCTGGCAGCATTTTATCAAGCACTGAATCAGGCAAGCAAGTACTTTTTTCATGATAGCTTGAACTGTCATACATCACCAAGTCCCGGTGATATATGAACATTCCTGCTACTCTTAACAAACTTCAAAATCCCTCAGTGAGACAAGAAACAACAAGACTGTCAGACAGTCATAACACTAGCAGTTCAACCTTTCTCTCTTGCCTATCAATTAGCTACCATGTTTAATTAGATACCCCAAAACTAATATAGGTCGGCTTAATCTGTTAAAGATTTATTCTTTGCATTAATGTCACCTGCATTATATATTAAGTAAATCCATTGCATCATTGCCAGGTTAATTTTGGAAAAAGCTGCCCTGGTAATTCACTGGGACTACTGTGAAAATCAAATTATTAAATTATTGCAGTGTATTTGGTGGCGCAGTGGTTAGCACACACAACCCACGTACTCAATGCGGGCAACCCGGGTTCAAATCTGGCCTGTGGTCCTTTCCTGCATGTCTCTACCTCTCTATCATACCCCCTTTCCTGTCTGCCTACTGTCCATAAAATATGAGCCACTAGTGCCGTAAAAATTCACAAAAAAAATTATTAGAAGATTGGTTGAAAACTATGTTGAAAAAATAAACATTGTGTAAGCAACACAAATTCTATCAGCTATTGAAAATAATTTCTTGTGATTATTTTCAAATAGTGACTGCACCGAGGCTAACCCAACTCAATTCTTCTAAATTAAATATAAGCCATATTAAACCCCTTTGGTGATAAGTGTGAAAAGACTGAGACATTAAAGGGAAACAAACAAACTCACCTTAAAACAACAGAGATGCAGTAAAAAAGATTATCAGTACAAGTTAGTATGTATTCTGTTACTGCAGTATTGATGGGAAATATTTGCTCCGGACCAAAATATTTTATATCTATATATTACAGGACTGTTGGTGCAAAGCTGCAGCTCTACTTACCAGGATGACTTTCTCGATTTCTTTGGAAGGGCACCAGTGAAACATCCCTGTCGAGTCATACCTCTTCACGTTCATGTCCATGTTTTCAATTTGTTCATTTCCAGGGATTAGTAGGGGGTCATGTCGACTGAAAAATAAATGATACTTTTGTTTAACAGCAAGCAAACTAATTACCAGCATGCATTAGCACAGTAAGGGTTAAAATAATGTTCTAAACAGAAATTCACTAAAACACCAACTGGTGAAATAAACTGCCCACTTTTACACACAACATGCTTTAAACAGTGGAAGTTGCCAGGATTCAGAGAAAACTAAAGAACAAACATTAGATAAGATTATGGAAAATGCACCCAACAAAGGTACCATCAATTCACACTGACAGTAATAATATTCATTATAAAAGTCATAATGACAGGAAAATTACTTATCAGCTTTGATTAGTAAGATTTTGAAATAGAAAATAAAGAAAATCACCAAAGACTTTTCAGAAAGAAAACTTTGTGTTCTCTTTAAGCCATTAGACTTTTGATTAAGGCTGCAAAAACAGAAAATTAGACATTGGCAGCTGATAGAAGGTAAAATGTATAACAGGTTGTCTGTTCAATCACATCGTGTATTAGATGCTAAACTTGGTAATTTTAGTTTTTTGGAAATTTCTATGTAACAGGTCTACATAATCTACAGGTCTTCTGGCTCCAGCCTGCTCTGCATACCTAGAACCAGACCTAAACATGGAGAAGCAGCATTTAGTTCCTATGCTCCACTTATCTGGAACAAACTTCCAGAAAACTGTAAAAGTGCAGAAAGCCTGAGTTCCTTTAAATCAAGACTAAAAACACATTTGTTTAGGATTGCCTTCGACTGTTCTAGTTAAACAGTTCAACTAAAACATATTTTCTTTAGTCCAACTGTTTTTAATATTCTTTTTCGTTTCTACATTTTTTATTTTATTTTATTTATTTTTAATTTTTTTCTACTTGCTTTGATTCTGTTTTATCTTCCTATATTTTAATCATATAAAGCACTTTGCATTGTCTTTGTACTGAATTGCGCTATACAAATAAATTTGCCTTGCCTTGCCTTGCCTTACAGGGAATACATACTGGGACTTTTTTACTATAAAAGTAACCAAATATAGTTTAAAATTTTAATCTTTAAAAAAAAAGCATCTTTCTTTGGAAAAAATTCCGGTAAGTCCTATGTGATTTTCAAAAATCACATAGGGAAAAAAACTCCCTTCCTCTCAGATGCAGAGTTACAATAATTTAATCGATTGTTTAACAATCTAAGACCTTTTTCATTTAATTTTAGTGAGTGCACCTTATTTTAAAAAAATAATAATAATAGGGCTATAGTGTGTCAAACAAATAAGTACATGAGACATAACTTGCCTTTATTTGGTTTTAATTACAAACTTTTGCAAAGTAGGGGACACTCTGTAGCTTAGGTTTTTCTAATAAATCGTTGCTTTATTTAGCTGTAAAATTACTTATTTTTAATTATTAAAGATTGGAAAATTTTACATTTATGGAAAAAGATTAGAGTATTTTGCCATAATTTTTAGCTCTTTGTATAATGAATAAAAACAGACACTATTACTATTTGCTACTAAGTCTGAGATTGGTGCATCTTTACCTCTAAATCATATAGGCCCCAAAGACACAGTATCATAAAATTGTCATTTTCCAATGCTCACATTGGAAAATAAAAACAAAAGTTTGAGTGATACAGACTTAATGGCATGACAATGCAACACCAATTACTGGCTTTTACCCTGATTTCCAGTTCTCGATGCCATGTCGAGCAAGTAGTAAATGCTCAGACAGGCTCAAATTTTAAATATTTCAAGAATTTGCCTAATCTCATTTTGCTCTCTGAAATGATGAGATAAATATTTGAATATGTCACAGTCAAACAAGCTTAATCCACACCAGTGGGCTGTTGAGTTGTATACAGTGTAACTCTGTGTCCTTTGCACAATATATGTTCCCACGTTTTCACAAGCAAGATGCAGAAGTTATTATATTTACTGCTGAACCCGTATAAGAGAGCTTCAGCTGCAAACTTCTAAAAGACAAAACTGCTGTGAGACATGTGAATATTATGGGAGAAAACCTCTCAGGAGTTTGACATACATCTCTCTCACCATCACTTTCTGAATCCTCTATCAACACTGCCATCCAATGACTAGACTTAATAACCATCCCTTCTTCCCTTTAACCAATTGTAGAAAAAACAGGAGTAAAATGGGGGGGGGAAATCTGTCAATTAGATATCCTCTCTTTCCAGCATTTTCCCCTTTCTCCCCTCTATGAGTTAGAGCAGGTGATAATAACACTGACAGCATTTAGTGTTTTTACACTCAGCCTGAATCTTTCATCCAGAGCTCCGTGTTGCGCCAATCAACTTCATCGAGCCCCCCCTACCTTTCCCTTCGTCACTTCAATCTGCTTAGCTCAGCTCGCCTCCACACAGGAGCTGACTGGCGGGCTGCCGCTCCACCTCTCTCTGCCAAGACAGCTATCTTTCACAGAGCTGTCAGCAGTGTGACTGGCAGTCTGTCACAGACTCTGTGCACCTCCTCCTCCTTCCTCTTCTTTCTCCATGCCTCAGGCTGAACCTACCACAAGGCTCTGGGAGAGCAGACACCATGTCTGTGCTACAGGGCCACGCCCAAGGGATATCAGCAGCGGAGGAGCCAGTTATATCCTCTGATAGTGGATGTTGTCAGTCATGTCCCATTTCAAATGTTTAAAGGTGTTAAAACCATGATAAAATGTATTATATGAGAATATACAACATTGTGTTTTTCAAAAAGCACAACTCATTTGAAAATAAAAAAGTACATATTAGTTTCAGTTTTCATACTGAAATCAGGCTTCTACCTACATCCATGACCAAACTTCACATTTTTCTAGAGGGAAATTAGCATTGTTCCTTATTCATTTTAAACAGTTTTTACATTCAAATGACAAAAGTTAATTATGAATTTCCTGCAGAAATTTTTATTAAAGCCCGTCTTTAGATACTCAACTGCAACAACAGATGGTTAAACGGATGGACAGAATGCATGTATGTATTAATGTATGTGTGTCTGTGTGCATGGATGGACAGACGGATAGGTATTTTATTGACCCAAAAAATGATATTTTCTGTATTTCCATACAGTAGAATAAAAAGTACATTTAATTTCATCATACAGAATCATGAGTGACATTTTTAAAAGGTATCAACGTCTTGAAAACACTCAAACTAAATTTCAAACCTTTCCAGGCTTTTGCAGACAGTGAAGGAACCTTTAATATTTTTGAATGGCACTTTTAAGGAGCACGGGCAGCAACTCCCTTATATCAATTCTCCCTGCAGTACCTCATGCCCCTCTCTCCCTTTCTTTCCAACTCGTTCCCACTGTATACATTTCAAACAGAGTTGAGTTATTCCAGTGCATCAGTCTGCAGTCACAGGCTGGGGATGGGCGTGCTCCCCCAATCCCTCCCTGCCAAACTAGGAAGGCAGCATCTCGCTTTGAAAATTTTCCCCATCATGCAAACTGACAAAGGCATACTTTTCAAAAGCCCACAGCCAATCTGTTGATCATTATTTATTTACAAAGACCTTCAGGCAGTGTAAAAAAAAAAAAAATATACTTGATACGTATGTTGGCTCTCTTGCTAGCGCTCTATTGTGTTTTCCCCTCGCCTTGATTGTTGAATAAAGTTTCCCTGGAGCGATCACTCTTGACGGTGCATTTAAATCCACCTCGTTAAGTTAATCTGTTTAATATATATGTGGTTATATGTTAACAGCGAGGGTGGAATACGATGGATAATGTGATGTTCTGCTACGGGCAAAGTCTAGGAAAAGAAAATCTACACCTATAACAGAGGACCTGTCATGCCATTACCCAAGAGCCAGCAGTATACAGAAACCTCCCTAAAGCAGAGAAAACTTTGACACCACTTTGAAGTGTTTTGGAAACTGAGTAAATAACTCGCAAAGATTATTATCACTGTGAGATCAAAGCAGAGATGCATATATTACATGGCAAACAGGGACCTTCTCTTAAGCAGAGAAGGATAAGAAGAAAAGGTTTTGTACTTTAAGTTAGGCAAACTAAACAGTCTTTTAAACAAGCAGTTAGCTGGAAATGTGCCAGTGTCTTGTTTTTGTGTTTTTCTTTTTCTTCTTTTTTTTCCCCCCTCTGAGCAAGGGCATCCTAAAATGGTACTTTGTTGCAAACTAGACTGAGGGGTATGACTCTATGTCGAGCTAATGGTTTGGCAAGTGTAAAGGCTTATTAAGTTCTTGTTTTGTGGCAAACTGAGGGGGAGGTATGCAGGCAAATATGCCGGACAAAATCACACAGGCACAAAAGTGCAGAGAAAAGATCGCTGCCTAAGGGAGCACAGCAAAAACAAGCATACAAAGAGCTAATGCAAGAATATGAAAAAAAAAACAGAACAATAAGGCATCTGTGGACAAAATGGAGAAGGAAGAATTTACATTTAGCTTTAGATTTTATGGGATTATAATATGTTTTAATACTAAATTAGGTCTTTTTCTCGAATGATTACAAATGATTACAAAAATTCATCATCCAAATGGATTTTCAGCATAAACAATGAACATGACAGCAGTCTAAAGAAATGTTTAAAGAAAAATCAGAAATATCAGATTTAAAATACTATAATGAGGGGGAAAAGCCAATAAAAAGCTAATTAAAACTTCAGACCATTTACTTTGCTCTTGTGTCACACTAGCAGAGTAAAATTTTAAGGTGATCAATATAAGGCAGTAAAACCATTAAAATTTTAATCAAAGATTAAAATATGGACATATTAAATTTGATATTTAACAATCCTGAAATTCTAACAATAGAACTGGTTAACAACCTAAAAGATTTGATTACAATTTTCCTGAAATCTTTCTACTTTTACTTATTTATATGAAGAGCAGGAGCTAAGGCTCATACTTTCCTATACATTTTGTAGGTGAAGTATATTTTCAGGTATAGTAATGGTTATACTTGCTTAAAATCAACATTTCTCAACCCTTTTTGTAATAACATTCATAAAAATCGTGCATGTTGTGGTATTTCATTGAGTCACCCTCCATTTGAAAACGAGTGGTTGGAGAATAAGTACATAAGAGTGTCCCCTCCGGGAAGCAGCTACCTTAACCAAGCTGTGCCTGCACTATAAACACTTTCTCCAATCAGCGGGGGTTGATGTGAGGAAGAGCGGGACGATTCTGGCTCAAAGTTGAGATGAAATCGCTCCTTGAGTAACTAATCTGCACAGGGCAGCAAGCTATCTTTAACTATTGTTATAGTTGTGAAAATCAGATCTCAGACTTTGTCCAGCCAACAGAGGTGGCAGAACTCTATTCCATAAAGAAATAATATCCAAGGAATTATTTAATTCTGCATTTGCCTATACGTGATGTTAAAAGCTTGAAAAGCATGATAAACTAATGATAATAAAAAAAATAAATAAAGGACCTTTAAGAAACTTTGGATCAAGGATCTAGTTTTATTAACTAACTAGTGCTAAACTTAAAGTTGCTAAGATGTTAGCCAGTTTGACATCTACTAAACTGTATCAATTTAAATGCACTGATAAGTTTATTCTGACTAGCGTTTGCTCAATCTGAATGCAATTGTATTCTGAATTAGAATACAGCAGCAATTTTCATGTCCCACGATCTTTAATCGAATTTACATCTGATTAGATAAAAATAATAATAATCAAAGTAGGATGTTTATATGGGAATAAAATTAAATAAATTTAACCATGACATGCACTCGCATTAAGTTTCTTTCATAGTAGAAGTACATGCAGTCATTATTTACCTAAAACAACCGCATAACTTTTGTACTTCTGCCAATGCGGAAAAAAGCAACCAAAGCTAAGGGTGTGGTGGTTTTTACCGCTCTGCATGCCCAGAATGAACTGTCACCAAGTTCTGACAGCAGTTGAGGCGTTTTTGCTTTCCAAATTGATGCCAGGGGCTCAAAAATTCAGCTGTTTTTTTTCCAGCATTACAGAATGAGAGAGTGGAATGAAATTAACATCACTCAAAGTTTGGTGCAGCCCAGTACCGCTCATCCTTCACATCCAAGTGCAGACAGGTCAGATTGTAGCAATCCAAATGATCAAGTTTTTAGATGGACGCTGATCAGCTGGAATTTCATTCTAATTTTAACTGAATCCGATCTCAATATTACAACTGGTTTGTTCACAGAATTAATTTTTACTCCTTATTCTGAATACTACATTTATATAAACACAGCAAGTCAGAGCAGTGGTTTATTCACATTGTTAATCCGATCAGTGTATATGTAAACTCTTGTTTACGAATAAATCATTCTAATAGAGGGGAACCGACCTGTCTGTGTATGTGTGACTAATATCAACTTGCCACATCATTGAAGTAAATTAGCAAGATGTGTATTTGCATGGTAAGAACTAATCTGCAGCCACTTTACATTTGCAGAGCACTCAATTTCTAGGTTGTCTCCGCCTTTTTTTTTCAGCACAGGCAGAAATTAAATGTGTTCTTGAGTGGTTGGTCAAAGGAAATTTCAAAATTATTTTTTTAAAAGCAAACAAAGCTTAGACAGTCTTTTTGATTAAACAAATGTCTTAACTCTGCCTGCCAGCTGCATGCTACCAAAATTACAAGACTTTAAATCCAACTTACACAAATTTCAAAAGCAGTTCCTACTTTTTGTTTTCACGGAGCATCTCTACCATGAATACACTGCTAAGGATGACCGGACAGCAATAAAACATGTTTATGCATACTGCTAACTACAGTCATAAAACAGTGTGTTTGGTAGTAATCTGTTCTGGTAGGTTTGAAATGTATTTTATTGAAAATTATTATGGGTAAAGAAATTATAAGCAGTGTAATAAAGATCTCAATTTGTAGCTACTCTATTTACATTTATTTATAAATGCATGATCAAACAAAATCTTTGATCCAATCTAAAAAAAACTGTTACATTTAGTTGAAAAAAATTAACATTTGAATAATTGATTTGAATTGTTTTTTTTTGTTTTTTTTTAAACCTCATTATTTCCTATTCAGTATTATATTGATTGTCGTCTACCCAAATACAATGTGGAAATTAACTGAATAATGAACTGGTTAAGTTCATTTAAAAAAGTGTGTATCAGGGCAAGCTAGGGCTCTCTGCCGTGTGTCTAACAGAGCCTCTCAGAGGTGCACAAAATAAAAAAATAAAAAACATTGCCCCTTTTATCTTTCAAAATCAATTAACAGCAATTTAATTCCACAGGACAGGATAAAAGGAAGGTAATATCTGAATTCATATTTGATTGCAAGGATACATCTTGCATATGGCCTTAAGTACCAGATACAGTACTCGCAGGGGTTCCCACAATAGAGCAGTAGCCTGAGGGCAAAGTAACCATGCAAGTCCCTCTGATTGGATGATGGTGTCATTAGTGCCAGCATTGTTTAAGTAGTACATGCGGACCGGACTGGAGGAGGTGACAGCTGGGACTTTAAAGCCAGAGGAGTTTTCAAACGGCTTCTCACAGCTGCTTTTCGTGACAGAAATATTATTTCAGCTCTGTCATTAACAGCTGACAGCATGCCACCCGAAACAGTCAGAACTTAACAGGGCATTTCTCCTCTCTTTCTTCCTTTTTCTCAGTTTCTTACCTCGCTCTTCTGCCAGTCTTAATTTGCCCCATCCCAGCCAATCCAAACTCCCACCAACAGCAGCATCTCTCTCAGACACACATCTCCCCCACCTTCTTCGTTTCAGTCCATCTATCCTTCCTCCCTCCCACTTTCAGCTTGAAGGCTGCAAGGAGAATAAGATCGCTGTCTCTTACCTCATCATTTTGGGTGAGCAGTTGGGTGAGTTTCGCATCCCCCCATTGCGCTGCTTTTTTTTGGGTGAGAGAGTCGAAGGATGCTCGTCCTCAACTGCAAATACACGGGAAGAGTTTCAGAACAGAGACAGGCCTTCTGAGAAAGTGTGTGATGGACCTGACATGAAAACAGTAGCCAGCTATCAATCAGTAACTGCACACAAAACAAGATATTGAAATAAAATATCATTAAAATAAAAATTGAAACAGAAGAAAAGGAAACTTAAGGATTTAGTCTCAAATGTAAGATGTGTAGAAGAACAAGGATTAGTAACATAGCAAGATAAAACTAATCAAAGTAATGCGATACTATGAAAAAAGCTAAAAAATGTTAATGAAAATATCAATAAATACGCTTATACTGTATGTGTTACTATCTAGGTGTATTTGATTGATATGCATGTTAGTAGTAAAAAGCTAATTTCTGTCAAGGTGGACTTAAACCACTTTATATACAATTCTTGGCTAAATATATTACCTTACAACCACAACTTTTCATTGTATTTTGCTCTATACTGTAGGATAAACCAACAGCGAGTAGTGCATAACTAAGAGCTAGAAATAAAAAAGATGAATGTTTTTTTAAGCTCTGTCATCACAGATAAAGAAAAAGTATTCCCACAGCATGATGCTGCCATGCCAAGTCCATGCTTTACTTAGGTGATGGTTCGTTTAAGTTGATGTACACTGTTACTTTTTTTTAGCAGCAAATAGATCTTTACATATATGCCAAAGGGTTTGGTTTTATTTTAAACTATTCTGAACTAGAATACCTTCTACCGTGTAGGCCCGGTGCACACTGTCCCTCTTCCACAAAGGTCCTCTTGACATACGACAACTGGTACAACTAGTTCCCATTGGCCGCTTTACTGTTTCTCTAATACATTTTTCATTTGCAACTATATTAAACCCATGCATATTGTTAAGTTTGCATTTGTGAGACAATATTTCAAATTCAAATAAAAGATTGAATAAAACTTTTTGAGCTTTTTTAAAGCTCAAAGTACTGATTTCTGAGTAAGTCTTGTTATAAACCTTTTCATAACTTTCTTCTTGTCCTGTGTTTTCTAACGAACCTCTAAGACCGTAACAGAACAGCTGCACTTTTAGAGATTCAAAGTCACATAGACGGACTTTACTACTAATCAGACTATTTAGGTAACCTATAAAGGCAGTTGGCTGCACTTGATTTTTATTTGGTGGCAACGCAGGAGGTTGTACATATTTTAATTCCATTACACACATTCCACACAAAATATTTTAAAAATGCCGCTTTTTCTTTAACTTTTGCAAAAAGGGCCCTACTGCATGTTGGTGTATCACATAAAATAATGTTAAAGTGTATTCAGGTTTGTAGTATGATAAAAAATTAAAAACCTTCTTACTTTTGGAAGGCAATAACAGTAATGCTACAAAAATGTCCAAACTATCATTGACAGCAGAATATGGGCATAAGCATCAACAATGAGATTAATATGTTATGAAAATGAATCCCTTAATATATTATATTTATTCTCTTTTCGAAACACTTTTTTCAGCTCCTTCTACACAGCTCAACTGCATCTGCCCAGATTTACTTCTAAGTCTAAAGATCATTTAGCATTCAGCTCATAGGTGAGAGAATATTAAGAAGCTATGGATTAGTGGGCTATAAATTCTAAAAGCAGCTTGTAAATGCACACCATTGATAAGTATAAGAAAGTCATGAGCTGTGTTACATATTTTAAAAAGATGAAATGATTTCTGTTAGGATTCGATATCTGTGTATAAAGCTTTGACACTTTGACAGGACACTGTTCCGCAGTCTTTTCTTTCTCTTAGTTTCTTGTCAAGTGTTTCGTTTTGTTGAAAAAAAAAATTTTTTCCTACGCTTCTTGGGTCTCAGAGCCAGAGTGTGGCCAGGACTGAAGATTTCAGTCACGCTAACTGCAGTCTGATCTTCACTACTGACGCCTCGTGGTTTCCAAGAGCTCTCAGACAAGCACCCAGATACTCCTTTCCAATCTACGCTATTCAAGCACAAATGCCAAGTGCACCATCACTTCAAACCCCCATCGGTCCTTTGGTTAGAAATCAATAACACAGCATGATATTAGCACAAATCAATGTGCACGCTGCAAGCGGCAGCGATTCCGAGCATGTAGATTTTCATTGTTATTTGAACGTGCAATCTTGTGAATAACTTAATTCTTCTAATAAAAGAAAACAGCTATGACTTTGATTCTAATAAACACATCACTCTCTGGCATTTTATTTATGCAACTGGGCTTCCAGAATATCTAACAAAATTTGTTGATCCTCTTTACAAATAATTCTTTACCATTAAATATAATGCATTACATAAAATAGACCCTTTCCCCCATAATTTCCCCTCTTTTATGTTATTTTATTTTAAATTTAAAAAAAAAATAGCACCTTTTTTGTGGTTCATAAAAATTTGAAGCAATATTTTCCACCTATGCACAAATACTTAGCATTTTCCTGACATAAAATTATAAAAAGATCTACATGTTTAAAGATTACTATGCCTACAACACTTATAAAATAAATTTTAAAAATAATTTTGTGGTTATTTAAAGTTATTTATTTACTATTATGGAAGCCTTCTACAGTAGTTAAACCTTCTGAGCCACTGTGCTGGCAGGCAAATCTGTGCAAAACAGCACCGGCAACAACAGCTGCATTGGCAACATAGTGAACCATCATGCAGCAAACAAAAAACAGAACGGGACAGGTGGAGTTATTGAAAGTTACATCCTGCTGAAGGGGGAATCACCGATAGTGCCAAATTTAACTGAGCAGCATGGTATTGGTGGGTTGGAAGCAATATTTCCCCATCAGATTGCAGGGCTTGGGTCAGCTTCTGGTAATCTTGTCTCCTGGACCCTAGATACTAAAGGGGGGGTCAGTGTAGGACTACTGCAGCGTGGGGAGTAAGCATCCTTTGTAGTACTTAGTGAGGGGGATGAATGCTATCTCCCAGTAGACTAAAAGGTCCAGGTTGGGGTAAGACAGCATTAAAGTATTAAGTGAAAATTGACTTACAGCGTGGGAGGTAGAAATGAATCTTTTAATTTTAATGATCTGATTGTATACTTTAAGTCTATCCATTGCTGTCAAATACTGGAATAAACATTGAGAAAGCCTGTGTTAATCTCTAACGATCAGAATTTTGTAAATAATGATTTTAACTGTTAAAATATGATAAAAATATTTTTTGGGAAATAAGTTACATCAATCAAAGTCTGCGATTTACTTATTTTAGTTACAACTAAATGAAGCATAAGTAAAAAGCAGAGATCACATTTTTTTTATTTCCTGCAGCTAGATTTGAAACTAACAGAAATGTTTCCAGTGACATTTACTTTGCATTTAGTGGCAAACATGAATTAATTAGAAGCTTCTCGGTTCTGCTTCTCATTTGTGCTTCTGTTTCTGCTAACACAAAGCAGAGACACGGCTCGGGCTCAATCCAGTCAAATCTAATCAGGCATTGTCATTTCAAGCATAATGTGTAAAACAGTGCTTTCATTTCGAGAAATACGAAACTGTAACTAATAATTTATAAATATTACTAATGCAAAACCTTTTAGCCATTAAACATTTATTGCTTTCCTTTTGGATTATGTATAAAGATTAATTTCAAACAAAAAAAATCTTTGTTCTATTCTCAAACAGTATGCGTGTTTATAATTCTGCAGCATGTCCGGTGACAAATTGTAGTACTTTTAATGATAAAATATATTTGGTATATCTCCTAACACAAACGCTCGCATGCACATTATCTACTCTGCCATTAGCCTCAACCTTTACATCTGCACGTACAGAATGGGTCGTGGACAAAGCAGGAATACAAGTAAAAGAGTTGCTTGCAGAGTTGACTGGGAAGGCAAAGCCCTTATCCTCTGTGGTACAAAAAGATGGTTGGATGGTTGGTTGTTTGGATGAAAGAGCATGCTTGGGTGACCCCGGGCTATAAACAGACGTTTATCCCAGCCGTCAGCTGCCGCCTTGATTTACAGGGCGCCACCGATAGCTCCTGGATTCATCTGGCCCTTGTCAAACACGTGCAGCGTTACACGGCGCTCAGGCGACCTGGCAGGTCCACTGTGCATCCTGAACAACCCAGACGGCAACTGTCCCTTCTTGAAATGCTAATCTCATGATGGTACTGTCCTGCATGCAAACCTTATCAGATCGCTGTGTCCCAATGTAAACTGGATGATGAGGAAGGGGGCATATCAGTAAAAGATTTTACTGTATATGTGAACTAAGCTGGCTTTGCTTTGAGTGTTAGCTGCATGACCAAGCGTTGTTTTTTACTGCATTGCCACAGCATGAGGATTGCTATTTAAGCCATGCAATTTTGTGTAATACAGTTTTAAACAAAACCCATACGGCTGCAATTTCTCTTAGATCTGCTTCAAATACAGCCACAATTTTTTTTTTTCACAGAAACTCAACAATGTTTTAAATATAAATATTACCTAATAAATAAACAAACAATAAAAAGTAAAATAAAAATAAATACTATTCTTTGAGAAAAATATATTCTTACCCAGTACAATGAAAAGTAATTTACTTAGCAGCTTTAAACTACAGATTTACCTAGATTGCAATCAGCTTTGAATCGAACCCCAGACTCTTTTTGGCTTCCACTGTTCCGTGGTGTTGTAGCGCCATCTGCTGCTACATGCAGCACAATACAAAATAGAATAATAAAAAAAGATTTTTTCATGGAACTATATTCCATGCCATGTCAAAAAAACACAAAATATATATATTTATAATCTATAAACACCAGGAATGCATTATGTTATTTTAAATATATACTTCAATAAAATATTGTCAGGGCTTTGTTATCAGTTTTAATAAATATTAAACATGACACTTTAATTTGGCTTATGTGTACAGTTTGGCTTCTTGTATAACAAAGACAACATAATTACATTTTAAATGACTGTGGGACAACAAAGCAAAACACGATTTGACATGACGAGGGTGGCTACAGTCTAAACACAAAGCTAAAGCAGAGTGGAGAAGGGCAGAGAGCACACTTACGTGATCTGACAAATCCATTATACTTATATTTAGCTGAGGAGACTGCAAAGACAAGTAGCAGGTCACACAGAGGGACACATCAACGAAAGAGTGGTGGAAAGGATTAAACCAGAGGGAAGTTTGATGTGTTTGGATTTATGGGGAGGAGGCAAAACTAAAAATAATAGGAAGATAGAGAATAATGGCAAAATTCTGATGGTGGAGTTGATTAGACCAAGGGATGATGGAAAAACTAAATAAACTGTACATTCATTTAATGTTAAGCCATATCATTAGGAAAGTGTGATAAATTTCTATAAAGATGGAATGAAAGTGAAATGGTAAATTAGAATTTGTTAAGAAATATAGGGTTTTAATGTTTTATTTGTAAAAAATAATCTTCTGTTGTATTTATTTAAATTACACTGCTATTGTGGTTATTTTTTAAGACAAACAAAGGCACTTATAGGCAAGCATACTGTAGCAGATGGAGCATACAGTGCTACACCAAAACTGACGGATTCCTGCACATGTGCAGTCCAGACGGTTGGCACAAACAGAGATTTTCAAAACTGGGACCTTTCCAAATGTGGATTTAATGTTGCACTTTGAATTTTCAAAAGGATGATCCAAGGTCTGTGTTTATGTCTGTGTCGTTAATTCAGCAGGAATTAAAGCTTTTGACCTTGACCAACAAGATAATAAAGACTGGTACTTCCATAGCTGCTAATGCAGTGGGTGCTTGAACTGATCTCATAGCTGCTAAAATCCCCTGTTCCTTTTCCCCAACATATCCTCCAGCAATAAAGGTCACAGTGAAGGCCCAGGGCTGGCCTGTGACACAGATCCTCAAAACAGGGACCTACAGTGGCCCTGGCATCTGTCTCCCACAATCTGCCCGCACCACAAAGGCGACAGACTAACTGGCTAGCATCTGGGGCGTACTACACAAACATAGGATGAAGGCTTGTGAGGGGGCAAGCCTGCCTGGTGGACAGGAGCTGTCAAGGCAAGTTTGGCGACAAACAAGCAAGGCTGGGAAAATGAAAATGCAAACATAATTTCTGTGTCAAAACAGATAAAAATCCTTTGAAATGAGATGTAGATTCACATATGCATAGACACAAAGATAAAAGTGAATGTGCTAGTGACTGTGTGATTCTACGTGGCCCTAGAGGCTGTAGGAAGGCCTAAAAGCATAATTTTAGCCCATAGTCCACCACTCTGCTACAGAGACCTCCCTTTATCAAAGCAATCTCTGGTGAAACTCCTTGAAAGGAGATTGTTTGATGTGATGATGATCTTTTTACAAGCCGAAACAATGAGTTAACAATTAAGAGACAAACATTAAGACAAAAGTCGGGTAACTCTTTAAAACTGCAACTACACTTAAAATACCTGAAATGCAGCACATTGTTTTGACTTTTCAAGTACTTTTCTCCACTCAAATGGGTATTTCAGCTAACATTATTTCACAAAAAAAAGGTTTTTAATGAAAATAAACAAACCAAAAGGAGGGCAATCAACTAACCTAATCCTTTGAATTCAACATATTTACTCTGCCGTCAGTCTTTATGTTATGTAATGTTTTGTCCCTGCTTTTCAGATTAAAAGACAAAGAGCAACTCATACAACTGAGCAAATCTACAAAAATATGGTGATTTAAAAGAGATGTCTTAGCAAACCTGTTGTCTAAGTTTTGATGAGACAATATAGTAAAAACAAGCCAGAATTTAGGGTAAGATTTAAAATTTTCCTTTTTTTCTTCACCATTTGATCGGAAAAGGAAATCCGACCATTCCTGCCTGACAAACCCCAGTACTCTGCATCACTAAACTCTTTGTTCATTCAGATTTAAAAAGCAAAAGAAATCTAAGACAGTGGAGGCTTTCCTTAAATCCTACAGGGGGTTGAAAGAAAAGTGAGATCAGTAACCATGTAATGGCCAGTAATTGGTACCGAGGGATATCAGCGCAGGCTCAACTACAAGAGGCCAAGCCAAACTCATCATGCAGTGTTTGACATTAATCTAGGCTGAGTCAGCAGACGATAGGAGAATGTTGAAAAGGAAATCAGATATGTATGTCTGAGACCAAGGCTTTGATAGTGAGGCTTACTGCTGCCATGTCTAACTGACAGACAATTTAGTATTTTCCCATCCACTCACAAAGAAAAGAGAAAAGAAGAAATCATCCGGGAGCCGGAATCCTCTCACCTTTCCTCAATGAAACCAACATCACTTTTCACTTATTGATTGCTTCTGCTTTCTTCTTTCCTTCCACTAAAAACCTCATTTTATACCATCTAAATTCATTTTTTTTTCACTGTAACATTATTTAGTCCTGCTGTGAAGAGTTCTGATTTTGATCCAATAAGAAATATAAACAAGCAAACTACAAAAAGCTCTTAGAATACAGGATGAAAGCGCCATTTCTAGTACACTAAAATAGAATAGAAGATAGAAATATATATGTGTAACATACAAACATTTCTAAAGTAAAAGGTATAAAAGTTTCTAAGAAAAAAACTTTTGCTTTTTGTCTGAAATGCTCAACTTTGGAAGAGAGTGTTTAAGTACTCAGGTCTGCTTTAATTAGTCAACTTACTGGTCAAAAGTAAGACTTCTGCTTGTGTTTTGAGACGTGCCAAAAAAGCCATAAGGCAAGGAATATAATTTGGTAAACATAGGAACAGAGGAATAGAACCGTTAACAAGGCCTTTAAGGAGTTCAGGAGCAGCATCATGTGTGGGAGGAAAGAAGTTTCTTCAGTGGGCTTTGCACTTTTAAAATGTCTAAAACTTGTAAATGCAAAAAATAAAATAAAAAATCTATATAGCATCAAGCAAAAAAAAAAAAAAAAGACTTTTAAAAAAAGCGCACTGTGAACCTATGTGAACCTACTACCTCTAACATTCCTGGATAAGTGTCTCAATTAAAATGTCTGCCCTTTAACTTATTTTTTCCTTTTCTCTTTTCTTAAGTCTCAAACTGTGCAGCTGAAAATGCAATCAAAGATACGAAAAAATACAATCACAAAAAAAACGATTAACCAAAAAGTTCAAAAATCTAAGATTAAAAACTCACAAACAAGTGTGCAAATATTTAAAGTAAACAATTACAGCATTGATATCTGTACAGATCTCTTACCTTGAACAGTTAAAAAAACATTTAACATCACACTTGAAAGGTGACATTTTCACACAACTGCATGACTGATGCAGCATGCGGTAGCCACGTGTCTAACACCTACAGTACTGTACAGCAGCACCACAGAGCCACACCACCACTTACATTATAACATTATATTCACTCTGAATTATCATTTGAAATACTACGCAGCTATATAGAACACAAATAGCTCAATAAGATATATTCATAAATATTCACATCAGCCACAGCTCCAACTATGGTGTCACAAAATACGAGTCACGCCACATAGACACACACTGACAGGTACAGTACCGCCGGATGAGGGAATAAAAAAGAAAACAGACTACACATCACAGACATGTAACAGCATGTGTTGGGCGGTGTAACTTACAGGCACGTAAAGTGGTTGCGCAATCATGAACAGAGACAGAGGAAAGTGGGTAGGCCCTCTGAAGGGTGTCCATGTTACTATGTACACTGCCTGACATGCAAGAGCAGTCTCGCTCTGAACGGCCGCAATCAAAACAACATGCCAGTTTCATTCGTTTGTAGACGGACATCTTGGCTACAGTCATGTTTTGGGATGAGAGGAGAGGAAAAGCAGCAGGTTAATGGCAAAAGGAGAAATATTCATTTGAGGGGAAGTTGGAAGGTAACTTCGTCAGAAAGTGCAAGCCTTAGCCACCTGCTCCACAGACTTGAGCCCCAATTAACATGAAAACATGGTCAATCACAAATTTACAAATTCAACTGTCAAATTTGATTTACCTGCTGCATTTTAGAAATGCTTTATAATGTAAGAATTGTAAGGCTTTTGCAAAGTTCCACGTTTTTAAAGAGGTCAAGCTGTGTGCTAAGGCTGAAACAGGTTCAAAAACTGTAACTGTGGGGAAGAGGGACAAGAAGATAAGGATGGAGGCATTCATGAAAAGAGGCATGAGAAATATTTTCAGCAGCAAACCTCATACGTACATTCTTCCATGTATTAGTATATCTGTTTGCCTTCAGGAACGGATCACGTACCTGTATCCATCATGCAGCTGGAGGCTCTGTCCACGGCATCACACTACCCTACTTAGCAAGACTGGCCAGTTTATGCTCTTTCCAAAAACTGCACTTTCACTGCTCCATTCCCCAAAGGGTCTTTTGGTCTGATGTAAATGTTGGTTTAGGGCAAAAGTATTTCATAAACTTTGAAAGATTTTCTGTAGGGTTACTATGCTTTTTAAAGGAGACTGGATTTATTCTGAAGGGGTTCTATGTCCTATTTTTTTTTAAACACTGATAGAAGTCAAAGATAACAAAAAATAAAAGTGATCAGTTAAAGTGGTTGTCTTTATCTTAATGCTTTGATGCTCTGTTAACAATTTAAATTAATTTCAAGCAAACTTTAGCTCTATGTGTTAAAACAATCAAGGGATTGATTGTGTTATTTATAATATTAACTATGACTGGAGATGCACTAAGAAAATCTGCTGCAACTTGAAGATTTCAGGGCCTGACCAGTGAATTCACCATATTCTAGCATTGCCACATACTCCAGCACTCATAACAACACTCTCCAGTGAAGAACGTGTTGCTGTATAACAACCTTTTAGTTAGCCATTTTCATTTCAGGAAGAAGAAAAAAAACTAGAACAGAGTAAAGGATATAAAACGGAACTATGTTTGACCAGATATTGTAATGAGACATAGCGAAATAAGAAAAGATGAGGAATTATCCACTTTTATCCATATGGACTCTCTATCTCTGCTATGGGTTGAATGGAATAAGGAAAACATAGAATCAGAGGTATTAGCCACATTCCCTGAAAATGGGAAATTGCTGATTTAGCAAGGCTAGCTGTGCAAACCATGGTAGCTGAAAAAAAAGGCTACATTCTGTAAGTTCTCATTTGTTATTTATTTTAAACAATGTTTTATAGGAACTATACGGTCATGCATAGTTTGACGTCACCTCTCCAATACAAATGTCTGCTATCAACCAGAAGGCCAATTTTTTTATGTATTAATATAGAGTGATAAAATTGTTATTTGGCAAACAAAGAACAATTTTAAATCAGTGAAAAAACTATAATTAGTGCATCTCTTGTTTTTAACAGAACTTTTAATCACCTTTAACTCTGGCAGCGTCTTGAAAAAGTAACAATAATTTAGTAAATATTAAAACATTTTGACTGTAATATCATCTTACCAGAATTATTCTTTTATTGTTATCTATTGAATTTGATTTATCTATTTGGAAACTTATGGCCCACTTTAATTCTACTCTGAAGCAAAACTGTAGAGTTCCAACTCAGGGGACCTTTATAAAATATCCCCTGAAGTAGAAAGTCAGAAATCTATGACTCACTAAGAATCAGATAAGGTACATTTAATCGTATTGAAAATTGCCAGAAAGAAGCTTTATTGATAGTTTGACCATCTTTTTCCAATCAAACCAATGGCATACACAATCATGTTCAATGTTTACTTTTAAAAAGGTCCTGTCTGTGTCTAACAAATATTATAGAAATTATTTGATGGTGACTTACTTATTATAGTACTTAGAGCCAACCATTTGGTTTTATCATTTCCTACTAAAATGGGCTAACTTCAACTTCTTTACTAATAAGAAATCCAACTTCCCAGGCATATTGAGAACATCCTTTCATTTGCTTTGGTCAGATCCATTTAAAAGCAAGATTAGAATGCCTGAGACACATTCATGACCAGTCAGACAGATATATATGTACGTATATGTCTGTATTGAGTGAAACCTTGAACCCAAGGGGGAGCAGGAGTGAAAATCTCCAGATCACATCTCTAGATGTCTGTGACTCTGGACAGAAACAGTCCCTGATCCCCATTGTCTCAAAAGAAAGGCTGCAAACTGACAGTGCAGTAATACAGTCCATGAATCAGATTAGAAAAGCAGATCTTGAATGAAATAATAGGTCTAAATTACCTGCCAGAAGGTGTCAGGGACTGTTTTATCTAGCAGCATGCATGTATGCTTCATGAGCATAAGTACAGCATGCAAAAAGTGCAGTTTTGTTGTCAGTAACAGGTAGTGGAGATGACTGTTCACAGTAATGAACCGGTTTTTGGGAAGGCATGGGCAGGTGCAGTGAGGCTCTAATGTCATGCTGACATCCCTTAAAGTCTGTGTTTTTGCATGGCCACTTGGTACACAGCATATATAAGTAACAATGAGGGTTTGTTTTATTGGTTTGTTTTTTTTTTTTAATGGAAAGGAAACGATGAGGCACAAAAGACACACACACACCCACACAAACTAATTAACACACACTCTGACAATGTCCTTCACTTCTGACTTTACAGATAACCAGATTATGGTCGAGGATTATGGGCTGTTCATTTTAGGGTATCACTGACTGATGATTCAACATAACAGCTACCCTGATAAACTGTCTGCATGGGTGTTTGATAAGTTCCTCCCCCTATAACTCACTAGAGGACAGCACACTCAAACAGAGGCAATCGGGGAGCTCATGTTGAATACAAAGGATGTTCCTAGGAGAGCAGTGTTCTGATGTAAAAATTCCCTCCAAAAGCTTTGTTGTCATTTTTTTTTCAGCAAAATTGAAGGAAAATTATGCATCTGGCTCAAATTTTTTAGCAGCACTTGTATGATCTAACACAAATAATTAAAGAGTGCCAATGACAACAAATTAGAAGTGGTTTAATCTATAAGGACTGTTAAATGTTTGATAACTTTTATTTTGTCAAATTCACAAAACAATCCTTGAAACTTTGCTGAACAGCTTTCTGGGGAATTGAGTTCACAACCTGTTTACATATTTGCATTTATTTTTTGCACATGACTGGTAGAGTACTGCCATCTAGTGGGAAATGAATGCTACAACACTTGTTGTTTCTGCATATTTCTAATGGACGCACACCCAAAGCAGCAAGTTGAAAATGTAAAAGGCCCAACGGCTGTCCAGATTTGAAATGCACAACACTCCTGCAGAGTGGCACTTTAAGTCTGAAGGGAGAAATTATCTTCAGCCAGAGTTTAGGAAAAATGGGGGCTGAGATCACAGAAAAAATGGGACAAGAGGGAGACCGGATTGTTTTGATTGTGTTTTGGCAACTTCGCTTGTTAGGATTTAAAGAAACTTCCCACAAGGACAATTTCTGCTCTCTGGGAAAAAAGGAGAAAAAGCAAAGCCGCACAAATGTTCCTGTGACAGAACGTAGATTAACTTCAGTGTCTGGACGTCTTGGTTTTTCATTATTTTATTGGAGAATTATGATAAAGACCCTCAACATATTTACTTCTACACCAAAAATATTGGATTAGCTAGAGTCTTAAATGGTAACCACAAACTGCAAAAGTTATAATTCACAACCAATTAGATCACTTTTAATATCTTATCTCCTTCTAATCTGTATGTCAGAAAGGGTGGAAGTTCTGATGCTGGTTTTAGGTCTGATTTATGCTCATATGGTTTGGTCTGATCTGAGCACAGAGTAAGAAATGAGAGGCGAGGAGAGGGATGCAGAAGCTACACTGTTACATGCAACATTGATACAATATACTCTACTATTGGCTAAAGAGGAACAATATAAAACACACTGCACTCTGGGTAATGGGACACCCAACTTTTTACTCACAATAAATCACTACCAGTGAGTAGTTAAAATAAAGAGGTGTTTTCCAATGGCAGCAGGGAAGGAAATACATCAAAAGTTTGTCACTGGTCATAAAGAAACATGGAAACAAAAAACAATAGGGGACGACAACAGAGCATGATATACCAAAATACAGAGCATGACGGGGTTCCACAGCAGTAAATCAACTGATGCTTTGATAAATGCAACTATCGGGAACAACCCCTTTAATAACATCTAATCAAATTTTCAGTTTGATATCTTATGGATCCTGGTTTAATTTATTTAGATGCTATTTTAGGCTTAACAATGTAAAACTTTCTGTAAATATCTAGAAAGGCACATTTCTGGACCTTTAGAGACAGTACTTTATGTTGTCCATTACTTTGATGTAATACAACCTACAAACTTATCAGCATCCCTGCTAAAGATGTGTAAAAAGCCTTTAAATCAGTTCATGTTTTGTTATGATAGCATAAGTATACTAACAGATCTGCCACCGGCCTTGTTTGTCACCGTCTTAAACCCTTGAAGCTGTTTATCTGTTTTGTTTCTCTCTATATATAGATTAGGTTTGTTAATGATATGATAATATTAAAAGCAATCATTTGTCATAATTTCTATTCCAAAAAAACAGAAAAAAATATATATTTTTTATTATTTATTAAATATCAAAAGGGAACAAAAAAACATGTTTTTCTCAACACAACTGTGGATCGTGGTGAGTGTCAATGTCTATAAGTTACGGCTACAGTAACTTCATCCAAGTTTGTATTTCAAAACAGATCAGATAAAGTGGGTTCTGCAGTGATGAATGAGCTGGGTTATATAGTTACGAAGTTTTAAACATAGCAGCAGAAGCATGCTACACACATTTCTCAGTATTATATAGAACACGAAATGGGTAAAAAGTCATCGTAAGTCACTTTTTAATTCACTGAAAACTCTCAGTGTAGTTAGACATGATGTCTGTCTGCAGCATGTCCCTTCGAATAAATATCTATGGAAATGTTTACATCAACATCTGGAGTCATGATGAATTGCTTAAGGCTGCTTGCCTCTTTAATGCAGCCTACCAAATTACTGCAACCTCTGGTTGCTTTAAAAACTGGGCAAACCCGAACATCTTATTAAATCATTGCACACAAAGACAGACATTTAAATAATGTTCATATGTTTAATATATACAATATTTAATGGAAATGTTAGATTCACATTTCATACATTTTAAATTATAGGTTTTCTCAAGTTCTTACGGACAAAAAATATTACTATCCATCCATCCATCCATCCATCCATCCATCCATCCATCCATCCATCCATCCATCCATCCATCCATCCATCCATCCACATATCTTCATATGTGCGTATTGTGGTATACATTCATTTTGATAGTGTACCCCTATGTCTTATAGATTGATCACTTCATTACTTTAATTCATACTTATTTGTTATGTGTTTACATTTATTTTATACTGTCCACTATTCATAACTGTAATAAAGGCCAAATTTGGTTGTTGAAACTAGACCTAAAATTAAATTACTTTTGATTTTTGGAGGAAAGATTAGGAGGAAAAAAAGTTGTCATTTAATTCAATAATTTGTCGGTCTAACAATCAAGTGTATTGTTTTGTCTTTTTTTAGGTATGACATACAGGAAGAAGAAGAAGTCAATAATCTATGAAGCATCTAGACACTAATCAAATAAAATGAGGTAAAGAAAAAGCTTTGGCCACATACATTTTATTAGAACTGTTAGAGATGCTACTAATTTAAGACTTTTACACATCTTTAAATGTGAAGGGAGCTGTATATGCAGTCATTTAGAGTAGTGACTGAGTTCAATAATATGCATTTATGGAAGGACTTAATTTCATATTATAGTGGCAAATGATTAAATACTATGCTAAACTAAAAGGAACCATTGTTAGAAATATGTAAAATTCCTGAAGTCTGCTAGAAACTGTTCTGCAAAATGATGTTTTTTTACCTTCTACCTACACATTTAACCAAGTCTGTAAAGGAGTTAAGTGTTGTCTTCACTCAAATAAAATTCACGGTGACAAAAACATTTTGATATTTACCAAAAGACAAACAGAATTATGGACAAATGAGCCTACCATAATGGATGATATGGCAGTTCAAATGGGACCCATATCAAACACTTTCCTATGAGTATAATGGTGTGATAACATAAAACATATTAGCATAGAACAGAACAGCAATGGCACAATGAAAGGACCTTAGATTTGTGTAGCAGGCTGTAAAAACCTGAAGAGTTAAAAGGGGACAAATAAACACGGAGGCTGGTTTAGGAGTGAGAGGAAGAGAGGGGAAGGAAAGGTGCCAGCGGTGCACAGTAACAGGAAAGCTACTTACGTCGTTTGCAGCCACACTTTTTGATCCTTTTGGGGTCTGTGATGTCATCATGACAAGCTTTGCAGTAGAAAAATGCTCTAAAATAATAAGGGAAATATTGTCACTTCAGTAACTCAATAAAAGGTGGATAGTTTTTTGTTGCTGCCATTTCTCCATCAGGATGTAATTACCGCTTTACTTCTTTGGCATCACTAGCAATAAAGAATCCCAGGGTTCCCTCCTGCAGCTTGACGTGATTGCCTGGGTTGATGAGGATGCTAGGTAATCAAAAACATACAGATAGAAGGAAAAGTTTGTTTATGTCCAGACACCACTCAGATCATGCCCACAACATGCTAATCAAGAGGAATGGTACACACACTTGATAAGGCTTTGAATGCGACTGTGTTGATATTGTTGATTTTACTCCAGTCTAAATTTAGATGCTTTATGTGTATCAGTTTAGTAAGAACAGATAACTGTTTTGCTTTGGGGCAATTTGTGGATGTGATACTCACACGGTTGGACAAAATGTGGAACAGTATGATCGGACACAGAAATTCAAATCTTTTTTCTTTTTCACAAAATGATACTTGATTGGTCAGGGGTGTGTGAAGAGGGACAGAGAGGTACAAGTAAAAGGGATGAGGGTAGAAAGAATTCAAATCATGGCCATGGAGTGGTTTTAGTCTCAGCACTCAAATACAGTCATCTTGGCAGAACAAATGTTATGATGGCCACTGAGACACAGCTGCGGTATAGCATATGTACAGTTATAGGAGTTGTCTTTCAGTTAGTATTTGACAACGGGATGCAAGGGAATGAACAGCTCTTTCTGTCAGTTCTTATGACTGTAGGAATATATCAGAGTGCTTTCAGAAATATATGCTGGATAAAAAAATGAGAAGAAACTAGTAAGTATTTTTTACAAAATATAATTCAAATATAATATAACTGCAAAAAATTGTTGTTCTATCTTCATTCATTCATTTATATATTTACTTATATATACATATATATGCATATGTATATATGCTTAAGAATATTTAAATACAATAATATTGCTTTACAGAATATATTAGAGGTTTTTGGGAGTGGGCTTAATCTCAAACTCCTACAGTGATTGGCTGTATCATTCCCCATTAATTAGACCACAATACAGAATACACACATATATACTGTTATCACATACACACACCCCTACACATACACGCACACTTTTCATTAATAGTTACCTAACGGCAACAATCATCAATGATATGGATATTTGTTTTAATCATTGAACCCACAAACCTTTATAAAGTTAAATTATTTTAAAACAAAACTCAGATGAAAGATTTTTTTTTTTTTATCTTTCCTAAATATTTTTTTGATCATTGAAAATGTGGAGATGTTTTCTTATTGTCTTCATTTACAATATGCATACAAATGAAAAGGTATATGCATTTTAAATATGTTTTTAAAAGTGTCTCATTATAGCGATAAGAAAATAACCTCTCATCTGAGCTCTGGACACAGTAACATTGTGAAAATACAATAAACACCAATCAGCCATAATTTATAAATACCAACTTAACATTGATTAGATACCTCTCTAACGAAAAGTAACATTGCTACTGCAAAAGGTTTGGACTGTTCTTTGATCTAGACAGCATTTTTCCACAATGTAGATCATTTGCAGAGGTTATGATACTGACATACTGTACTTGTTTTTTACTTTCAGATATTGATAATGTGTTGACCTCCCTGGCAAAGGACGTTGAACCTTTCAATGTAGTAGCATAAGATATTAGAAAATAGGGTTAGAAATATGACCAAATGCAGCAAAACAGACATTGCTGTCCTAGAATCACAATTGTGTCATGCAAAGATGGAGTTTAGGAAATCATACTTGAATTTTAACTGGACTCTTTGTGTCAGTCAGCTCTGAAATATACTTAAAGTTCTCTCCCTTTGTATGTCAGAGCTTTACAATTGCCAGTGTAGAAGATATAATCTGTCCTGGAAAAGGCACATACCAAGAAATACTAGTGGGGTTGATTTGAAACCCCTATCCTCTTTAGAAGGGCAAGCAAAGTCTGCAGCTGTATCTCCCTGGATTCCCCAAAAGTTTAACTGAGAATTTTGAAGACTCCAGAATTTGCTTCTATCGGTTAATTAGAGCGATTCCCCCTTCTAAGACCCATTAAATCACGAATAAGCAGTGTTACTCAGTTTGCCCTAAAATTACCATAACTCTATGGCTGATTGGTGTGTATATACATATATACATACATATATATACACATTACAAAATTATGTCTGAATAAGATTATATAGGTCCAGTCACATCATGCAGATCAGGTTGTTCTTTTCCCATGTCTGCAAAATACATCTGCTGACATTCCCTCACACTCAGTGACCCCCAGATTGGTTGACAGGCAATATCCCTGGCATGCTGTATTCTAAAAAGTACATCAACTAGTTCATCTAATACAGTTACACAAACATTGCTGCCCAAATCTGAGATTTTACAGGGGTATAAATCCATAACATCTTTCTGAAACCAGTTGCAAACTGGTGAAAATCAAGTTTTAAAACCTCATATTGTGAGCAACAAGGCAAGCATCAAACACCATATGTCACTGTGTTGGAGCATGCAGTTACCAAACAGCATGAAGAGGACAGTAATAAAACAGAAAGGCATAGCCACTGCAGTACAGGTATAGGGACAGGTACGTAGATGCAGACTGTTGCAGTAACTTCTGTGCAGTTGGATTGTTTCTCAAACACCAAACTGACAGGAAGTGACCTCACTTGGGAACATCTACTCGAGAGACGCACGAGCATGACTGTACATGGTGGCTGAGACAAATGGGAACAACAGAATGCACATTCACCCACAAGAATCTCCCTCTCAAGGTAATCATGTTCTCACACAAACATGCACAAATGGATTTACATTTAACACAGATTATGAAAGGGTCATCGAATGGAAAAGTGAATTGTGGTGCTTGTGAATTAAAAGGTTTAGTTTAGATAAATCTAATGCTATCCAATTTGAATAGCTCCATGCTTTTTTCTAAAACAAGTGTTGAGTTGGGGCTGGTGTTAAAATCAGTGAAGGCAAAAACATGTTGCTATGTCAGCCACTGCTTAAAGAAATGTATTTTTTTTTATTCACCGATTACCACCACCAGATCAGTGCTCATCTACACCACATCTGATCTAGGTTATTTTCATACAAAGTAGTTGCTGATTCTGAAACAAATAACCAAAAAGGACTGCTCTGACACCGATATAAGAAGACCGAAATAGGGGAAAGGTGGATCATTTCAGCGCTAAGACAAATAAAAAGGGTTTCAACTGAGCGACACTGAAAAAGAACTGAACATGAAAAAATAAAATCAATTAAAAGGTTAAGGACAAAACTGAAAAAAGACCAAAATAGAGTTAAATATGAGGAGGGTGAGAGTTTGGCCTTGGTACACTGACAACAGCAAAGACAAAGAAACAGTACTTCTACAAACATGTCCAATTTATCTATCCTCTCAGTCTCTGTCTGCAAAGAAGTTAGTGCATTTAGCACAAGGGACACCATATAAAGTTGGAAAGAGTAGGCCTGTGAGATAGTGTTTGGAAAAATCTCCTTGGGGGAAACTCCCAAAGTCAGAAGCTTTAAAGTGGTGGAGATTGGGTGGAACTTTGGAAGTAAGATAAGGTAGAGGGCATACCGCTTTCGGCTTCTGCAAACAACAAGAAAAAATCTCAAATCAAACAGTTATCATTGACATAAAAAAAGAAGAGGATAACGCAACTGTCACTACTTAATCATCTGCCAGTACACTACGATTGCCTTATGGCACCATTTAAAGTATGTCCAATATGCTGGAATCCTTGTACTGATGTATATATATATATATATATATATATATATATATATATATATATATATATATATATATATATATATATATATATATATATATATATATATATAAATAAATAACAATTATAAATAAAAAAAATATATATATATCTATGTATATATATATATATATATATATATATATATATATATATATATATATATATATATATATATATATATATATATATATATATATATATAGGTATGTATATATGTGTATATATATATATATGAGGGAAAAAATATATTAAAGTATAAAAGAGTACTAAGGTATAATGATGTACTAAGGTAAGAGCTAAGATTACACGTATGATAGCACAAGGCAGATAGACATAGTTCATTTTGAAAAATATTAGACACAACAGCTGAAAATTGGACACAAAACTGTTGATGGAGGCTGAAAATGACCTGACAGTAGCACTAGACAAGCTGCACTAAGCTGTCTGGCAAGTATACGGTTTGTGTTCTACATGTGATAACAATCTCCTGCGTTCTGCAGTCTTTGTCTAAAATAAATAGTCAGGCTTAAAAACAGAAGTATTTTCCTTCAAAGAAAATATCCGGGCCCTGCTTAAGTCTTTTATAACTTTGCAGAAGAAGGTTTTATAGTATGATAAAGTCTAATTTTTTGTTGTAGTTGTTTGCTGTTCCAACTGAAAAGGAAAAAATATGGAAAGAGTAATCTTAATCAAATTTTTTCTACATCAAAAGCTATTTGGAATTTTTTTTTAAAAGTCACAAATACAAGAAAACAGCATAACGCTAGAATTCTTTTACTAAAGGAAATAGTAATATCAAAAGAGCATTTTTGTAAATGCACATATTTTTGCAGTTTTGCAGCATGAAAAAAAAAATTGACACAGGCGAAATGGGGAGGAATGGAAAGGATTTGGCAATTTAAGAAACAGAAGAAAAAAAAACAATGTGTTGTCATGGAATAAACACTAAGGCAAAGTTAGCTGTCATCAAACAGACCTAAAGGAAACAAAATGTGAAACATGAATATACAGCATGCTAATCATTTAAATACTTTGATGCTATTGATCAGAACAAGATTATCTAGTGCAGTCACTTCTTTGTTCTCAAAATAAATATATCCATGGTTAGATGGATACGATTCTGCTTGCATTAAAAAAAACAATAAGTCCAAATTCTTCATGAATCAGCAGCTTTTTTCTCTCAATTCAGTTCTATTAAAGTTATCCTCAAACATTTAGCCAAATTAATAGCTGGTATATCACACAAAAATGTTGATATTTTGAAATGGCCAAGCCAGAGTACTGACTTAAATCTGATAAAGAATATATTGGGGAATCTAAAGATGAGGCTGACAAAAAGGAGGCCATCAAAGCTCAGTGACTTGGAGTTTATCACCAAAGATTTAAATACCAATAGTAACCAGCAAAAACCTGAACAGCAATTATAAGAAGTATGAACAAGAATAAAAATGTTTTATGTATAAGGGGTTGTAATTTATAAGATCCATATTAGCTAATTTACAATATTCACTTTTTTTTTTACTAAATAGTGAACTAAAACTAATACATTTAGTTGAAAAGTAATACTCCTTTTATTATATAATTGTCTTTTTAGAAAGGTCTACTTCATTTCCTACCATGAAAAAAAAAACTATTGGTTTTAGTAATAGCTAACTGAAATGGAAGTTTGCCAAAGGTACAATGCTTTTTCAGCCTCTCTATGTCTAGTTATGTGTTAAAGGTCGCTCAGGATATAGATAGATTTAGATAGATTTTTAAAAAGATTTCTAAATATACTACATTACAATTAAATAAATGCCTTTTCAAAAAGCCTTTGAGAAAACGAAATATTAAGCAACTCTCTTTTTACATGCATTTAAAATAAAATCAAGGGTATTTCAATATATATATATCTATGAAAAATAAGGAACGGCCTACAATAGGAATATAGTGCTTATATTTTACATTCTTTTATATCATAACCACAAAACGTATTGCCATTAATTGGGAAATAATGTAAGAAAGCAAAACAAAGTATTTCTGTAGTGGAAGAAAAGACACAAAAGTCTTCCAAAATCATTTATAAATCTCAAAAGATTCTACCCCTGTGAGTTAATGTTTTTAGGACAACATGATTATGCCACCCCGTGCTTTAGGTTGAGGAAAAAGTGGTAAGAGTGTTAATTGTCCACCACACATTCTTGTTAGATAAAGATTGGTAGTTTTGGTTTAATCTGGCCAAAGTGTCCTTTATAGTTCCTGTTGTGAACTGTAAAGGGCATCTACATGCTTGTTGTTAAACAATGGCCTTGTTCATGACAACCTTCCATACAGATCAAGTTAGTAGAACAAAGGTGGAAGGTATATGTGAAGATTCTCAGTCATCCAGGTCATGGTCAAGCTTGAAAAAAGTTTTCTAAAGACATTTTGCCTCTTATCCAAGAGTCTTCTTCAGTTTTAACTAGTGGATGGGAGCACTGAGATTAATATACTGTAGGTGTAACAAGGAATTAGGGGGGGACAAATGCTGCCTCTGATCCCTCCCATTGGATTAGCCAAGGAGGTCACATGAGGGGTATTAATGGTTCTGATGGGTCATGGAAGGTGAAAGGCAATGCCTTGGTAAGTTTGTAGATTGGTTTCTTTCCTTTTTAAGATCATGAATTGAACATTGCTCTATGAGTTTTTCAAAGCTTTGAATATTCTTTTCAAACGTTTTTAAATCTAGAGTTAAGCTTAAAAAACAGGCTAGAGACTAAAAACACAGCTAATCAAATGAAAACCCCACTTTTATAGTTCAGCACTACTTTAATTCAAATATCTATATTCAATTCAAATAAAATAAACTATAGTATGGTACTGCAGAAGTGCAAACTAAGAGAAGGTTCACAGGATATCAATATTTTTATGGTTAAATATCCAAAATAAATAAGTGCTTTGTTATTGAGTTTGTGTCATTTTACTTCTTAACGGAAATATTGTAATTCACTCAGCTATTTACATTTTGATAGTTAAATCTGTACAGTTTTCCAAGCACTAAACCCTTCAAAATCAGTTACAGTTTTATTAGGTTTGCAAACAGATCATAGAAAAAAAGAAAAAAAGAAAATAGATTGACTTTGTTGGAAATAGCTTAATTCTTAAGAGAAAACTTCATGGATGTTTTTGGTTACCACACAGATTTGAGAAGAATATTCACTTCACAAACCTGCTCTCTCTCTGCTCAGACTTGAATTCAATGGCAATAAGCAACAGCTTTAACTTCACATAGCACAGCCTGGAAAACAAAAACACTTCATTAAAGAAGAGCTGAACAAAAGCAAATAACTGCTGTTTTTAAGCATTACGTCTGTCTCTATTTAGATCACAAAAATCCTTCTAGTATGGGGTAATACTTACTCACACACAGCTGGAAAGGAGAGGCCTACAAAGGCACTGGACAAATACTCAGTGTACATCTCATTAGCTACTCCTTCAAGGTAATACTTTTGCCATGTGTCCTCCTCAATCTGAGAAAAAAAAAGAATTAAATCTCATGTGTGTTTTATATATATATGTATGTATATAAGAGAAGGAAGAAAGCAGGACTGTTTCCTCTCCGACATCTGTCCAATGAGGTTTGCAGATGTTTCCCTGCAAAGCATCAGCCTGTTCATTATTAGCTGATCCATCATATTTAAGACATGGAAATAGGTCTTTCATAGAAGCAACCACCTCATTGTTAGGCCGAAGAAACAGTGAACAGATTCCAGATGAGTTGTCACAAAAAACATAACGTGCCAAAATGACTATAAACACGGCAATGAAAGCAATTCTCTGCACAAGTATGTTTGAATTCCCACAGATCTGGCCCATCTGTCACCAGACAGGACACAAAACAGCACTTTGTTAACCTCTGCTTCAATCCTGACAAAAATCATCTCCAGAATGCTGAGAACCATCTCATTAGTACTTCCTCGGTCTGTTCAGATGGCCAGACAGGGCAAGTAATTCTGTTCCTCTGAGTTACCTCAATGAAGGATCTCATGGAGAAGAGATTGGCCAGCATTGTCGACAGGCCCTGGGCCAGACAGCTCTGGGCAATGAAGCCGGCCTTCAACTCGGCCAGACATATAGCATCATCACCTTCCTTCCAGTTCCAGCTGGGAATGTTCAGCAGATGGGCCTTCAGAGCAGGAGAGGGAGAAAGATCATGGTAAAAAGATCATGGAAATATTTGGTGTTGACACTCTTAAAGGAAAAGTTCATTTTGGCAACAAAAAAAAGGCTGATACAATCTGCACATTTATATGATCAATTTAAAGTTGAACTCAACTGACAGCTAAAAAACCAACATTTTATAAATAAGACTTAGCAGGTTTAGTTGGCTCTGCTAAACGGTAGAAAAGTCCAAAAGAGATTCAAACCGATTTCATCAACTACTAACTTCTTAACTTACAGTAACTATTAACTTAGATGACAGCCAACAACTGGTTGGTTGACCAACAACATTACAAACCCTTAGTTACCACTATTATTAATGCATTAAGTAGTCGAAACAATTTTATTAAAATTAGGGAATACCTTATCAGTAATTAGTCCATATTAAACAGACAATACATTTAAATCTACAATTGAATCCATTATTATATATAAATGTGCCAGATTTAGGACAGACAGTACCCATTTATATAGAATCTAACCAAGCAAAAAAGTTGCTAAAACGACTGGAATTAAATTAAAGACCCAATGACACATGAGTATCCCGACATGAAATTAATCTTTGCGTGCTAAGATCTCTTAGAAATAAAATCAAATAAATTAATTTGAATTATTTATGTTTAGAAAACAAATAAGAAGTGCCAGATTAAAAATGTTACGTAGCTAAGTCAAATGACAAAATATTAATATTTACATTTAAATTGACACTTCAACATTTTAAATTCTTTTTTAAAAACAGAAACACAGACAAAAAATGTAATCACGGGTTTCTGATTTTACTATTTTCTGGTCCACATAGGTGACATTGAGTATTCATCAATGTCATTCAAATGATTTGTCATCAAACAAAATGTATTTGCCTTGAATCCTCAAATATTGACATTTCATACAATAAATCAAGCTTAATCAAATGTTTAAGTTTACTGGGGAAGTGTATGCACTTAGCACTAAGCCTAGTGCTTAGAGCTTGGAATCCTGAGGTTCTGAGTTCGAGCCCCACAGGTTGCCTCTCAGGGGGCTTGAGCCAGACCCTTAATCCCACACTGCTCCTCTGGCATGTTCAGTAATTGCCACATATTAGCTGGCAGCCTTAAAAAAAATGCTTGCAGGGGGGAGTGACAGCGGTGAGAAAACCCTCAACCACCGATGGCGTCTCAGGCGCCCTGCGATGGCAGCCTACTGCTACTCAAGGGTTAAATGCAGTGGTAAATTTCTCCAGTGTGAGATCAATAAAGTTCCATTATCAATTATTATTACTCTCATAATTGTAGGTTTTATTCCAAATGCAGAGCCTTTATGCCTGGTTTATGCTCGCAACATCGAGCAGGGCACTAGGGTGCGCGGCAAAACTTATGCAATCTGCTGTCCCCGGCCGCAAGCACCAAATGCGCCCTAACCCCAACCCAACCTCGGCGCTAGGTCGCCACCTCCAAATTTTTGTGTGGACTGTGCACGCCAGCCTCATTCCAAGTGGGAGAATATAAAGTTGTTCTCCACTAACAAGTTTGCCTGTACTGACATCAGATGGAGCAGAAGGTTCAAGTGGAACAGTGTGGTTAAATACAGTGTTCTTACTGTTTATTCAGTGACTCAATACGGCATACAGGGGCGAGTTTATTGGCAAAGCTTGAAGTAAAGACAAGGATTTTAGTTTGTTTCCATACAACATAAATAAAGTCTGAAACAACTGCCCATAGGGTACACTATGGGTAGTTACCCATAACAACTATCCATACACCATGCTTTCAGCATTTATTTAGTTAAATTTGTTATATATATATATATATATATATATATATTAGTGCTGTCAAAATTATCGCGTTATTAACGCGTTAACGCGAGGCCATTTTAACGGCGATAGTTTTTTTAACGTGAGATTAACGCTATGTGGTTTTATGGTACAATTTTCCAAGTACATCCCGCTGCAGCCTGCGAGAAGGCGGGGCTATTTTCCCCCAGTGTATGCATTTCTCATAGGCTTCGAGAGCGGAGCTCCTCAAGGGAAAAAGACGCTCATACACTGGGTGACGCTAGTGCCTTTTCTTTAAGCCCCACCACCAACAAACAAGTTGAGTGTCTGGTAACTAGTAGCAACCTGAAATACGCTGAGAAAACAGATTACTGAGGTGAAATGGAATCTGCTACGGCACTCTTGCTGTTTGTGTACGCCACAGGTCGGTATCGCGTGTGTGTGTGTGTGTGTGTGTGTATGGGTGGGTGTGTGTGTGTTCTCATTTTTGTTAAGAGTCTGAAAAGTAACTTTCTATAGCATAGACTACCTCCATCTAGTAATGTCGGTCTATTGATTTTGATGTATTGATTGAAAATTGTTCATTATTATCTTGGTTAATTAACATCTAATGTTAACTCTACTGCATTTTATAGCAGTAGGGTAAAATGCTTGTCTTTGTTCAAAAGACTGTATTAACTGTAAAGACTGTCTTTTACATCAGCTTGTTTTCAGGGCCTTTTTTTGGCTACAATTTTTTTCTTTTTTTTTTCTGCATTTGCTCTTATGCTGATCACTGCTTCTCTTTCGTTTTACTGCACTTACATCCGCGTCAACTATAAAGGGGTACAGCTCTTCTACAGGCTCTATATTTCTGTATTAATGCGGTAAATAATTAGACTCCAAATGGCCATTCCCCATGTCCTGTAGTAATGAGTTTTTCTTTGCCGTTACTGCTTTGATTCACGAAACTTTTCTTAAATTAATTCTACCGGTACTCAAAATGTGTCATTGTCATGATTTTAATGTATCATACTGCTGGCTAGAGCTCCAGTAAACTCTTAATCTCTAAAAAACTTTAACACTTACCTTATTGTGATACTGTAGCATCTGGGTTATTATTCTGATCTTGGGATGGTAGTTCTTGATAGATATGACCCTTAGAAAGGCAGTCAGAAATGTTCAATATGAAAATCTAACATAGCACCAACTTTTTTTCCAATAAGTTTAGGTTTTCCAGGATTTTATACCTCATGATGTTAGAAGCGTCTTCAGCATCAGGATCTGCACAATATTTGTTGGCCAGAATTAGGCAAGCATCTGCTGACTCAATCTATGTAGAAAGAACCAATCAAAAACCTTTAAAACCACTATGGCCTTACACCATCGCTTTTTTTTCCATTGGTGTCACTAAGATTTGCTGCAACACAGTTTTCCAAACTCAGATGGCCTGTAGAATGAATGCTCTTTATTTTCTAAATTCAATTTAAAATTAATGTCAACTGAGACACACTGTGGTTTCTCATGATTTTATCTCTTGAGGACTATACCTTCACTCGGGCCAAATCATGAGGGTTGAGAACAGATCCCTGGTAGAACTCTACTTGAGTAAAATGGCGTTTGAACAAGGCTTCCAGCTCAAGATTAGGGGAAATACTATCATTCAAAGAAATAGACACAAGAGTTAGAAAATCTTAGCATACCTTATATAAACATAATGTTCAAACTATCCTAAACATTTTAAGGAAGGAAAAGATTAACTTACTTATGGAGAAAAATAATTTCTACATTGACATCATCCCTGTCCTTGTGTAGGAAGTCTTTGAGGAAGTTGGAGACACTTTCGAGGGTAATGTGACCACAGACCACAATGTGCCTAAAAGGGGGGAACACACCTTCTTGAGTGCATAACATAAATCGCTACATACACTGGCATATCTCCCAAAGATAATCAGACAAACCAAAGCAGTACATTAACTCTAATACAAAGCGAAAAAAAGAGACTTCAACTGAGATGTTACTGGATGCATTTTCAAAGCAAACCAGTAACTGGATTATATCTTTTAATGCCATATGAGTTAATTTTTCCTTGATTTAATGGAAGTGGTTAAATTTAGTTCAATCAAACACTTAACTATATACCACTACAAAAAATCTAAGTATAATCACACACCCCACAATGGTTGGACTGTCATCCGTTCCCAATATAAAAACTGTCCCTTCAGCCAAACCAGCCCTTTGTGAGTAGAAATGATCTTGACACAGACATATACATCAATAAAGTAGTGCTTTTATACAGAGCATTACTAAAACCCTCAAAATGATTCAGCGGCATGTGGCTGACACAAACTCTAAACAGGACCACAGAGTATTTGACAGGTCCTTGGCAGTACTCAGCAGCACATTATGCCTGGGGAATCTGACAGAAAGCGCAGAGCTGATTAGAGCTAAAGGAAAGGCAAGAGTTTGTGTGAGACCATTCTTAGAGGTTAAGGCTAGGTCCCTTCTTGTCCTCTAAGCACCCTGTAATCAAGTATTCATTTATATGTTTATTGTAACAAGGTTTGAACTTGTGGTGGCTCAGATAATTACATTTGGTGTCACCGATCTAACAGCTATAATCTATGCAAATTACACACTGCCAAGTAAATAAAAGTTTAGTTTCTTTTCAAGTGGAGTCCTCTTGAGAGGTTATAACCAACTAATGTCCAACTCCCTTAGCTGAAAGACTTCCCTTACTAAAAAGTAACAGATTCAATTTTCCATAAACAGTCAGAGCAATACTAAAATAAAAATGAATATCTATAAACAGCTGTTAATTAAAATATAAAAAAAAGCTTCATATGAATGCTATTTTCTTTGATGAGAAGAGTTCATGTGTTTTTAAGACTGCCAGATATAACATTATATATTTATGTCCGTTTCCTAAAAAAATAACAGTTATTATTTTAATAATTCATTCAGTGTGTGAATATTTTTAACAAGCATCTATAAGTTTTTATGCTTGCTTCTTTAATTCAGTATCTTTAAGATGTCTGTACAACTGGAGCTAAAAGTATTTTATTACTCCTGTTATAATATTGCAAATTCAGCATTGCAGTTGTACACATCTGCTACTATAGCAGTTTGATCTCCAGCTAAGCCACACTGACAGGGATCATTTTTAACAATTCGAAATATTTAATGCCAATTGCTCTACATATAAAGGCCATGGTTTAATTTGCTTTTTGCACAACAGTTAAAACCTGTTACCGGTAAACTAATTCAAGTCTTTTCCTGCAGCCTGGCTGTATGAATCTGCACATTTTCGACTAATATTTTGTTGAACATGGCAAAAGCACTTCTTGGTTAGCTGTAGCAGCCTTCCTGAGTTAACATCTACCATCAGTAATGGTTAGCTAGTTAAAGAGAAGCTCAAATGCATCAGAAAGATACATCTGCACAAAGGTGCAGGGTAAACAACTCTAGCATCAATGGCATAATAGCGTCATTGAATCTCATGCTAGGCTATGCATGAGCTCTGTCTGTAACAATGAAGATTCCATCATGCTAAATATTTGAAAAGCTCCATTGGCAATGGACACAAAGTGTTTTCAGTTTAGTTCAACTGATAACTTCTTGACCACTTGTGAGGAATTATAGCACATGCATTATCTGACTAGTATGCAAAGATCTTTGGGTGATCATTAGATATGGAAAACAAATGACTCCCTGTAAAACTAGCAGAATTTTACACCAAAATAGAGGAAATTATGGGTGTATCAATAGTAAAATGCACACTTAACGGACATTACAGAACTAGATTTTTTTCATCTATTTTTTTTTCAAATTTAACAACTTAATAAAAACACTGTGTGTTAATTTGACCAAAACAGATTGATTGCTACTCATCAGGTACAATTACATATGTTGATAAAAAAAAATGAATACAATGTGTGCACAGACTTACAGCTTTGTTCTTTATGTAATTGATAAAATTATAAATAAATCACAGCCACACTCAATTCAGCTTCTTATCTTTCATTTTTTTTCTTTATATCAAGCTTATTAAAGTCCAAATCTTTTACTACAATTGTACAAATCTGAGCTGCTATGACAATAAATACTATTCTTGAATCGCCATAAAAATAACAATAATCTGTCATCAGTCTAAGCAAATTTTACCAAAAATTTCCTTTTTTTTTAATCTTAAAATCATCCAACGAGACTTTCTCAAGTACGCTGAAGGAAATTAAGTCATTTTTTTGTTTTTCATTTGCAGTTTAAGCTACTTTTTAAATAAGATATCAAATGTAAAAAGCTGTTAGATATTATTCAGCTGAATAAGTCATGATGAGGATAAGCGTAGATATGGAGTAGACAATCTAAGCATCTTATGGATACCTGTACAGCGGCCTTCGTTATGACAAGAAAATAATTTAGTGGTCATACTTTTGCACTCTTTATAATTATTGCATTTTCTTTCTACTGTTATGTTATTATGCCCAGAAATAGCTCTAGTGAAGATATTAATCTTTTAAGTCAAGACATAAAACTGGAAAGGACATTACTGTAATCTGATTCAATCTGGGTTGTTGAAAGTAAAATATATTTAGTGGTGTTAAATGAAAACCACAGTCAAGATCACTAAGTGCTCTCCTGCTTTAAACCTTATGGCTGTGGCAGGACTCAACTGAAGCGGACTTGGCAAGGCAACGTGACAGCCATATTAAGAGAATGACAGTTTTCGGATGTTGCAGGACATAATGGTTTTCGCAGATGTCTCCTCTGACCTTTACCAGGATCTAATGAGCAGCCGTGATCAAATGCTCGGCCAGAGGGGCAGAAATATGTTCCAACCAACTGATGAGCTGACATGTCTGCCAGAAACTAGCTCTATCTGGACAAAGGTAATTTCTCATTTCATAAAATGTAGGAATAAAATCAGTACTGTTCCCCAGGAATGAGTATCTAGATACACTTTGATCATTTTAGAAAAACTAGAGAGAAGCATTACACAGCTAAGCATACAGTTATAAAGGCCAAAGATACCACTGAAAGAATACATCACAATTATTTAAATGTAAAAGGTAGATTTAAAGAGATTGTATTCATGTATACACATAGACATTTACTTCTATTACACTAGGATGATGATGTGATTAACAAAACATTCTTCTCTACATAAAATTGTTCATTTTTCACCATCAATGTGTAATTAGTCTTAAGATTAATACATATTTAATTTCTCTATTGTGTAGGACTGTATAGTATATCATTTGCTCATCAATCAACTTCAAAACCATCTCACTGATTTTGCAATATAGCTTCATCTAAAGTGCTTTGCAAAATGATTATTTTAAAATTTTGTCACAATGCAGCTACAAACCCCGCTGTATTTACATTTTTTATTAAATATTTAAAAAGGAGACATGTGCTTTCAGCCCTCTTTACTCTAAAACACCTAAATAAAGTCCTGTGGAACAGATTGCCTTCACAAGTTACCCAGTTAGTAATAAAGTTCATCACCCTGTGCCTATTTAAATTCAGGCACATATTCAGATGTTGGGTGAAAACATCAGGGTCTTGTGGAGAATATCGCTAAACAAACAGCATCATGAAGACCAAGGAAAACACTTGGCTGGTCAGGAATGTCGTAGAGAAGTTTAAACATGGATTATGTTATAAATCTAACAGTAATGTTGAACGCCTTTTTCAAAATTAAAAAAACAGTATGACCAAACACACTAATACATATCAGGCCATCCAAATGAATAAGCATTAATTGTATAAGTTAACTTTTCATAGGTACAGAAAGTTTGTTAAGAATGGAGCTATACTTGATTTGTGTTTTGTATATTTCCATCAATCCATCAAAGCTTAACAGGTAAAGAATTGATTCCATCCAGGGGTAGACAGACATTTTGGGCTCTATCAATCTGGGTTTTGGGCTTTATGTTGGTCAATCAAGGTTACAATTTTAATGTAACAAAGCTCTAGGTGTAAAAATACTTTTACGAGACACTGCATATAAAAACTTTTAAATTAACTGAAAAAAAGCATATCATAGACACAGTTCTTTACAATAAAACATAAAAAAACACCCAATAAACCACAAAAAAAGCTAGCAGCACAAAAATAATATATGTAACCATTTATCATCGCACATGCAAACAAAACATGCACATAGACAACATCATGGGATGTCCTGGGGAGGAATAGGAAACAGAACGGACAAACACAGAGCTCAAAACATCAGCAAGAGAGATCACTCAATTGCTACTTCTCTAATCCTTAACTAGTCATGAAAATGCTGCCATGTTTACTTCTTGTAAAGTTTTCAGCCCCCTTTGATGCATTTTTGACAGAGTTTGGTGACATTGCTTCGCCTCTGAAGTACAAAAGCTGTGTATTTTAAAATTGAAGGTCTTTTTCTTTTTATTCTTTTTTTTTTTTTCTCAGACAGGGTTCAGCCAGGGTTGAAAAGAGTTTCCATGCCAAGCCCTCAGCTGAATGAGGTCTAATGGAAACCACAGAGTCATAATGGAAACCGCAAAACCCCAAATATGGTGGGTGCCAACAGAACATTACCCTTGTCATTACTACATCAGTGTAAGAGCTGTCACTACGCTCAAGGGTTTATGCTACACTGCAAAGAGAACTTCTACCAAAGCTAACAGACATAAATCTAATGTTGATCTAACATGAGACCCTTTGGCTTCCATATAGCCTTAAATGTTTGTTTTTAATGACAGGAGAGGTGAAGCACTGGTTGCACTTATTTTAAATGTATCATGATCTCATCAATTGAAAGCTCCATAACCATTCAATTACAATAATCTTCTAATCTGGTTCCATTTTTCTTTTCATGTGTCAACAGCTTCTAAATCGAAATGCACAGAATTCTAGAGCTGCATATCAAACCGATTTTTGCTAATAGTTTCTTCCTAATGTATCTAAATTAACTCAGCAAAACTGAAAGGCTCCTCAAAGTTTCTGTGTTTTATGGGTATCTTATGATTGTTACCATGTGTCTGACCAAAGAGTTGCAGAGGGAGGAGAAAAAAAAAGGGAGAGGGAGAAATGATCTGAAGTTTTGACAAGAGCCTCACTCAAGACCCGTCTGTGTGTGAGGGCTGAAATCGTGAGCCAAACACAACATTTCATCAATCTTATCTCAGAGAACAAAGGCTCCCCCCTTAAAGCCCCACTGTACTGCTGACTCCAAAAATTGTTCCTGCTGCAAAGAGTAACTGAAACTGAAGGGACTAACAATAGAGCAGCGAGAAAAGGCAAGATGGAGCAAGGAAAATTTGTGGAAAAGAAAGAGATAGAGGAGGGTTGGTCTACTAGTGTTGGAAAACTCTCACATCTGTCTTGCAATATTAATCTTTGTGCTTAACATCAGTAAAGCAGGTGGTTAGTGTTTCCTGCCACGTGTACTGGAAAATGTGTTATGTCCCTACTATAAAGGGAAGCTCCTGCTACAAATAGAGCATGTCTATTAAAACCAAGGGTGTGAAGCAGACTTTCCTCTGCTGTGTCAGGACAGAATATATTACTTTAGTACTAACATACCTGATTTTTATAAAATTCTTTCTAATGAAGGATTAAATGACTGAGTTTAAAAGTTTATGCTCTAGGAGTGCCCCCTAGTGGTCATATAATATAATAGCGTAATTAATCATAAATCATGGAAAGCTGTCACTTCCTTTTAAGCGTCTAACATACTGAAGTCAGCACCTTTTTATCAGCACAGAAAGGAAAGGAGTGAGGAGATTTTGTAACAATAACTAAATTTTAGACTTATTTCCTTAATTGAAATGCAGATATGCTAAATAAATTGCATGTGATGGCTAGTGGGCATTTCTTGCAGAAAGGTTTTATCATATTTAAACAATCAAAGGCATATCTGGTGATCATTTTGTGTACTTTAAAATGTTAAATGTGTAGTTACGCAATACAAGTGTGTTATTTTCTTTTTGTGTAGTGTTTTCCTATGCCACTGTGAAGAAAGGAAGACACTCAATGTTGTTATGGGGCTAGAGGTTTGAGCCACAAAGGGATAAGAGGAATAATGTACAAAAAGCTTTGTGTTACTCTTGTGGAAAAAGTAAACTGACCAAAGCACCACGCAAACTTTAGGGTTAAATCCACACACAGCGAACTGTGACACCACATATACACAATAAACAGGTTAGCATTGAGAATGGAGCAGGCAAAAGCAAGCAAAAAGCAATTGAGAGCCTCCAATGGGAGCGAGGCATCCAGCATTCAAGGGTGTGGGAGCTGACTGAAGATCAGGGCCAGAGTAATGTCAGGCACGGATGATGCAATGTGCTACAGCAGTGACAAACAACGGCGATTAGCGCTTTTTCATCAGGGTTGCAGAGATAATGAAAAAGCCATGAGACGGCAGGTTGTAAAGAACATCCCAGATATGATGCAACTGAGGAGAGATGTAAAACATGCACAAATAACCCAAGCAAAATAAAATACACAAAATTAAGAAACAAAGTAATGGTCATTGAGATTGATGATGCTTGAAAAGACCACCAATAATAATGCATATGCAGATGTTTCAGTTTTTCTATGTTCTCATGGGAAAATTCTTTAAAACTGGAGAGTAGGGATTTCATGACTTTCTTTTATCTTTAGGGCCTTTGTTTATGTGTTAAAGGTCGGCAAGTTGGAAATGTTTAGCAGTCATGAAAGCTCTATTTTCCAAATTAAATTATAGCGCAACACAGGATGTGTCAAGGAAAACAAGTAAAGAAAATGAACAGCACATGAATGATTTAAGGAGAGTGTTGAATTAAAGAAAGATAGAGGTAGATTCAGAGAAAAGGGTAGGCAGAGGAAGAGTAAGAACAAGAGTGAAGGGGCATGAACATGTGTGTCCTAATGGCCAAGGTCTCCAGTCACGCAGTGTGACTTCATCTAACTACTGCACCGAAACTTGAAAAATATTAAATGTAAAGTTCTCAAACCCCCAATAACTTAAGAACTTAAAAAAGAGGGTGCGCTTTAGTCACACAACCACACCTTGTCTGGATTTCAACTTACTTTCTGCCTCGTGTCGAGTTATAACTCCCTCCGTATTTCTTCCGATTAAGGATGAGAGCAGCAATTTCTGGCACGTAGCGAGCAAACATGGCCTACATGCATGGAACAGAAAAAAAAGAAAAAAAGGCATGCAGAGAGGGTTCCACTGCACACATAAAAACAGCAGAACCATCTGGAATACTTACTTTCTTCCATTAACCGCACTATAGGAACCACCATATTTCTTGCGGTTTCCTATTAACTCTATGATTTCAGGGACGTAGCTGGCAAACATGGCCTAAGGAGGAGATAGAAGACAGAAGAAGAGACTAAAAAAGAGACTACTATGCCAAAGAGTGGTTGGTGGAGAATATGAATCCAATTTTCTGAGATGAAAAAAGTTTTGTTTTAACAGCAGAGATCTGCCAAAAAATTCATATACAGGAGAAATGTTTTCGTGTTAAGTTCTTCTTGTATTTATTGTTTTGAGCCCCAGTATGTAAAGGTTCTTCAAGATCCAGTTCAGTAAGTGGACTTTGGTCACAGCTGAAAATTGCCAGTCTGTGATGGCACCAAAAACCTTTTCTGGGTGGCAGAATTTTTAGAACTAATGAACAATTTTGAAAACAAACAAACAAACAAAAAAAAACCTATGTGCCATGTTTTGTCCAACAAACACAGATGATCTGGCAGGTTGATTTGAAAAGACCGTCCTGATGGTCCACAGCTGCAAAACGTATCAAGACTCATTAGTTGGGCTGGTGAATGAGCTGGATGCATTTTGCAATGTCTGACAGCCTTTAATCACATGAGGGTTTTTTTTTTTAGTGGAAACGCTGACACTTAGGCCATCAAATATCAATAAAAAAATGTATTGATCTACCATTAAACTATAGGGGATTGAAACGCATTATAAACGTGTGACCTTGCTATAGCAGTTTTATGTTTGGCTGCCTATGACTCTTGACTGCCAAAATGAAAAATTTAATTCCTAATTAAATCTTTCCCCTTCAATTTATTCATTCAATTAAATCAAATGAATAAATACTTTGTTTATCTGATTATTTATCCTAATCAGGTGATGCACCCCACTAGTTGCCACCATTCCCGCTAACCACAGCACTTCACTGTGTAAAGAAAACTCAAAGGTAACAATTTTCAGGATTATATTTTAAAATATCAGCAAAGAGATTTATAAAACTATTTAAAATAAAACAGGGATCTTTTTAAGGATAGATGACAGAAATACAAAGAGTTCAGCAGCAGCTGCTCTTTTATATAATAGTAGTTTTAATCACTATATTGAAAAAGGAGCCATCTGCCACAGGATTTTATTTCCTACCCTCCTTGGAATATTTTGTTGAAATGATAAAATGACTGAATTGATATTACATGTTACAGCCATGTAGAAGTGTTTAGTCTTTTGGGCTTTTTCTCCTATGAATTTGGCAGAACCAAATTTTGGAAAACTCCCGATTAACATAGGGATCTGCAGTCTGTAGGGCAGTGTTTTTTTTAAACTAATTTTTCCAGCTCCATTGTTATTTTTTCAAACAGTATCACTGTAGTATTACCTAATACTCCAAATCCAATATGGCTGCTTTGAACCCATAAACTTTCAATTGTACCTCCTTAGATCTTATGTCACATCCTCTATTGGTTGTGTAGGTAGCCTTTGAAAGTATAAATCATAGAGACAAGCATTGCTTTTGGTTCTTATTGATAATAAATGTCTGGCTGGTGACTGTGCATATTGATTAGGAATGCTAAACATTTTAAGTTGGAACACAGTTAGGTTGGGTTTAAAGCTGTTTCTAGCAAAAGTAGCCACTAGCATTTGGTCCTGTTACCGGTAAACTGCTGTCTGCATCAGGTTAATACTTGGGAGTATTTTTTTCTTTTCCTTGTAGAACTTCTCTCTAGATCTCTGTTAATTATTTACATTTACATTGGAAATAACTGTCCAAACTTACTTCTGGGTACCACAAAAACAGCCCAAGTACCACCACTGGTGCTTTTAGCACATTTTAAGAACCATGGCTCGAGAGAAAAACTCACTACGGTGGATGTTTACAGTTAGTAATGTTAACTCCAATAATTGTGCTATTTACTTATAAAGGATATAAACTGCAATTAGATCTATGCCTCACAACCATTTTGTCTTACTTAATTCAGTAGGACTGCATTGAAGTATTTGCTCTTTCTCACACAAGCATTAGAAAGGTATTGCTGCTCTGAATAAACACGTTACTATATCTATCACTCAAATTAAGGAGGCTATAAATAATGATTTTAGGAAGGAAAGGTTTGACAATAAGAAAGATAAGAAATCAGACAAAAATCTCTAATTTGTCCATCTAGGGCAAGGAGTAAATTTAAGGGTCTGATCTGATTGTTTTGTTCTCTAAATATTTTTTAGCCATGAGTCACAATTCATCCACTGCTACTTAAGGAAAGCATGTGAAGGTACTGAAATAAAGACTTTCAGAGCCTTCCGCTTTCAGACAAAACACACAATCTATCACTATGAGCACAAAGCAACACATGGTCACACATATGTAGAAAAGAATCCTACTGTCACAAGCCTATATTCCAAAATTCGAATGGGCTAAATCCTTGAACCAGAGCCCTGAATCGATATAAGTGCACACAGGTGCATACATTCATGCATTTCCACATTAACTCTAAGGTGCTTGTGGCAGCCCAAAAGGATCATTCATAAAGAGGTTAGGAAAGGAGAGGGGGGGCTGCTGTTGCTGTGGTACCAGTCAGGCTGGCCTGAGCCTCATCTTCCTGCCCCTGTGTTTGTTGGAAATGTGGGAGGAGACACAGAAGGAAGGGTGTCCTGAAACCGCAACTGCTATTTTAAGAGAATATAACAAATTTATGAGACAAAAGCATATACTCTAATTCAAGTAATATAGAGGGGACACATAGGGAGAGCAGACAAAGGAGACTAGGACCTTGAACTACAGCAGACAGGATACATTAGGTTAAATAACATTTGCAGGTAAATGCAGCAGAGTTTAATTCGTATAAAACACACTATGTTAATATACAATATATTTAACACAATTTGCATTGATCATCAATAATTATTTAGGTTTGCTTAATGATTTAAAATAGGCCTAAATAGCAGATTGAGGAAGACAGGCAGGATCGATATGTGAGGGAAGAAGAGGATAGAAAAATTGCATTTTACCAAACCACCGAGGATGAAGAAGACCATGAACAGGCGCCCCAAGGTGGTTTTTGCATAGACATCCCCATAGCCCACTGTAGACATAGTCACCATCAGCAAGTAGACACATTCCCAATAAGATAACGACTGGGAATTTTCAAAGTTTTCCCAAGGATCCCCTGAGTTTTCCACCTGCAATGGAAATGAGAGCAGAGGTTGTACAAATGATTAGCCATGAGACTCACCAGTACTTCCTTAATTTATTTTTTTAAACTAAACAAATCCGGCCAACTGGGCATGGTTTCTGCATCATATCAAGCTTTGACCACCATCTAGTGGTGATATTTTGAAATACATGATATGTTGCTTAACAGGACTGATGGTGGTCATCAAATTTATCAAAAGTTTATATTTATCATATAAATGTATTTGCAGTTGTTGCTAATTTTAAACACTTATTGATTAAAAAGAAAACTTGATGAATAAGGAGGAACACCTTTGGTTTGTTTTCATAAAAAAAAAATAAAAACAGGATTTCTTTAGCTCTTATGTCAACTTCTCTAAAGAGATTATTTATCTTTAGGATCAATAAGATGACTACCACATGACTTACAGTATTTGGACTAATCTTACCAAGATTAATTCATTAAACAACATACAATTTGAATTATATCAATGCAAAATGTTGCATATACAGTCAAATTTTACAAATTTTACAAAAAATTACATTTATATATATATACACACATATGGATCCACCTAGATGTAAAACCTAATAGTCCTTTACATTTGTAAAGTGAGGAAATAATAAAGAGAGAGAGGACTACCAGCAAATTTTATTAACCCTGCCACAAATCTCCAGTCAGTTGGTTAAAACTTCAGCACTGGGGATATTCCCAAAGGATAATGGCACATCAAATAAAGTTTTGGGATGAATAAATCAAGCTTACTGTACAAACCTTCCACTTGCTCTGACCCAAATTATAGTGATAAATATGGAGCGTGTTTAGATCTGAGCTCAGTCATAGTAAACCAAGTATTTAACTGAAATATTCTGAATAAGCCAAAAGCAGTGGTTAAATATCCTGGAAAAATTTGGCCAAAAACTCAGTGATGATTTTAAAAAAAAGTGTGTGATCCAGGTGAAGTGTGCGATCTACAGAAGGAATATATACTTTCAAATATGCAACTGTACCAATCATTTTCTTTTCACAAAATCAATTATTTATACATAGGAAACCACCACGTACACAATGTTAAAGTTGACATACCAAATGTATGAATCCAGCCGCCGTGAGCCATGTGCTTATAAAGATGGAACACAAGTTCACCAGCTTGATGGAATTGCTGGTTTGGAAACAAATATCAAGACAATTAAAGAGAAAAACATGAGAGTAACAACTGGTACAATATTCTACTTCAACTCAAAAAAGATTAAAATATAAATGTAACATAATTGAGATTGAAAAAATTATATAAATTCTTAATGAACACAGAGTGATAAATAAAATTTTATGCATACATACATATATATATATATATATATATATATATATATATATATATATTTATTTATTTAGTACTAATAAAAAAAGTATTTTAAAATAACAGGTAATGAAAGAGAAACTGTAGTTGGTAAAAAAATCTGCAAACTAAAAAAATTATGTGCAATTAGTCCTTAAAGCAACACTGTGTAACCTTAAGCCAGTAGAGGTGCTAGAATTTACTGCATAGCTGTAGATGTCTGCCTACAGTGTGTGTTATCAGGCTACTTTGGAAACAGTAGAATGACAATTCATGGAGTTACTTGTAAAGATAAACTTTCATTCACTCCTCTAGATTAAATTCTAAATCAGAGAAATATCATATTTTTATTGTGTAAACACTTTTAGCTTAGTTAGCCAAAAAGCAGAACTCTAGGTCAGTGGTTTTTAAAGTGGGCGCTTATTTTTTAGAAAATATTTTTAAAAAATTAAAAAAAGTTAAAAATAGATTTTTTTTTTCAGTATCATGAAATATAATATATTTAAACATTATTAATTTGAACTTTTTTGATTTCACATTGGAGAAATTTCCTTCATTTAACCCATCCATTTGGGGTGCAGTTGGCTGCCATTGTGCGGTGTGCGGGGAGAAGTGTGGGATTAAGGGTCAGAGACCCAGAGTGGCAGTCTGTGGGAGTGGGGCCCAAACTCAAAACTCATAACTTGTAATAATATATCATGCCAAGATGAAAAAGCATGTGGATTTAAAATCCAACTTTGAGGCTAACTATTAAGTAAGGACAGGTTATTACAATGCCCTTCCCTTTTGCATCAACATTCCATTGTGAGTCTGACTTGTTCAACTTTAAGGACAGTCATTATAAATCATAGAACATCTCTACAAGTGGACAATTACATTACATTATGTTACTAATAGACATTAAACCCTGCCCACCAACTAAACAAATAACACATTATTTTCCTCTGTTCTTTATCATACAGTGGGAATATAATACAGTGTTAAAAACTGTTAAATTCTTATGCTAAACATAATTATCAATAACTTGACAAAGATAAATAATAAGTAAAAAAAACTTCTAGAAGGTTTTATTTATTTATTTTACATATTTTTTTGCAATGTCTGCTGGTTTGCAAAGGGTGGTCCCAAATATTATTTCTGTTTAGGGGACCAACATGGTCAAATGACACATTCAGTGATGGATCCAAATCTAAGTAAGTTTTTGAGAAAGACAGTCTGGCCAGAGCATTAATATATGCCAAATGGTGGATACTGGCATGAAAAATATATATATATATATATATATATATATATATATATATATATATATATATATATATATATATATATATATATATATATAAGCAAGTTATTACTTGGCTCAAGAGAGTTATGCAGTGTTGCTTTAAATAAAAACAAAAAAGGGTTTTTCACTTTAAGGTGTTGTCAGTTTATGATAAAGTATCTTGCACAAGTAAGAATGAAAATGTTTCACGTTTAATACAAGAAAAAGAATGTTCTTTCTTACCTTGTTTTCAAAATATTTAGGAACTGTAATATTTCTGAAAACTGAATCAGTCTTAGCGCTCTCAGAAATCTTAAACCTATTGAAAGACAAGAGCAAATATAGAAAGGTGTGAGAAAACACACAATTAAATGCACAATAGTAAAAAATATATTTTAAGAAAGAAAACAAAACTTCATTATGGAGAATGTTAACAAACACAAATGAGGCAAAACAGGAGTTAGTGGGAAGTTTAGAGGACAAAGGCTCAGCTTGAATGTGGAAAATACGAAGTTAAAATATGATGACATCTTCTGATTGTTGGTTTTAGATTAAATTTCTGATGGAATGAAAAATGAACATGTCCATGTCTGTGTATTACAGTTCATATTATGAGCATTACCAATGATAACATGTCAAATCAGAACTGAATCTAGTCGTTAAAAAAAAAACTTATGGGGGCTACTTACATGTAAATAAAAGCCCACCTTCAGAATATGCATTTGTTAATGCTAAAACTCTTACCCCAGTTGGATAGAATGTGTAAACAGGACCAAAGAGTATGATAAAATCCATTTTGCGCTCCTTTGTGATCCTGCCCATGATGGCTCTGCCTCACCCTATATCCATTCTGAAAAAGATCTCCACAAGACTTCTTTCTCCTCCAGGTCTCCTGGAGATTCTCTAGGTTCACATCGCAGTGTGTGCGGCGGTAGACAAGCAGTTTAGGAGGAATCATTGTTTCAAATCATCCAATGACTAAGAAAATTATTTGAGATCAATTCTAAGGTCCTTTTAAAATTATGCAACCGTTCCCACAAAACTCATGGGCTTCAGACAAAAATAAAGCTAAAAGTAAACATTCATCATGACAGTCCAGCCTCAAAATGTCTATGTGATCAGAATGTCAGCTTGAATAAGAAGGGTTTTTCTCTCTGTGTTGAGTTTTAGTGCCCTTAATCCGCACCACACAAACCGATTTACCTTTCTCCCGGCCTTACAGAGCATCACTGTCAACTCTTGCAGAGCTTTCTCTCTCTCTCTCTCTCTCTCTCCCTCCCTCTCTGCACACAGTTGTGTTGCACCTAATTTACAAAAAGGTCTGCATCCTGCCAAGGATTAGCAGATATGAAAATAATGCAGGGCAAAAAAACAATAATCCTTTTTCAAGAGGGTGTGCTCTGCATTTATTGTGGTATTTCAAATCCACTCTAAAGTACTGTAGGAAATAGCCATAGAAGCACACTTGCCAGCAAATATGTCATATGTAATATAATGATAATAATAATAAGACTAAGAAAATGATTATTGTTATGTATTTAACATGCAAGTTCCACGCTTAAGACCCTGGGCTGGGAACCGAACCCACAACCTTTTTCCTGTAAGGCAATAGTGCTACAAACATACGTCAGACATTTCTATAAATTTATATCGAAAATATATAATATAAATTTTCCTCTTGTTTCAAATGTCTTTCTACATGTTAAAATAAGAACATGAACACACAATTGTGATAATTTTGTATAAAAATTTAGGGAAGAAAACCTCTCCTTTGTGAAGAAAAGATCTACAATCAAAGCATTTCTGAGAATGATGAAAGTCCAATTAAAGATACATTTTTTTACAACTGAAAATCTGACAAAGTATACCTCTGATCTTACACAACCAAATATGGTAATATGTACAAGTATTTCTAGTAAAAGACTTTTTTATGATATTAATTAGGAAAAGAGGATATGCGAATCAAGAGTTCCTTAAAGCTATTCTTTAACAAACACTGGTGATCTTAACCCTAGGAAATACCACTTGCATGAACTAGAGCCAAAATTCACAGTCTTGCCCAACATCAATGTGTGACCTTGTTATTGAGTTCTGGAAAAAAAGGGATCAAAGATTCCCATGAACACATTCCTAGTTTTTCTAAAAAGCTGTCTTTTGAATGTTAAACCTGTCTTTGCAACAGACGATCAAATTTTTAAGGATTAATAGTTAACCTTCATTTCAGTATGTTTCTTAAATATACAAAGGTAAATGAGAAAATACTTTTCTAAATATGTCATTGTGTGCAGGTCAGATCAAAGGATCTTTGTTATTATTGCAAAGACTATATAACTTTTTCATTTTTTTTCGTCTCTGTGTCCTATACAGCAACATGGCACTTTGAATTGTTTTCTTAGTTCTATTTTGCAGAGGCTTTGATATTCATATTTTAAAAATGTGATTTTAAAATAGATTTTATTTAAATGTACACCTTAACTTACAGCTATATAAGAATTCACATGGTTTTATTCAGAGTAAATAACTAGAGTCATGTTTGGACTTCAATGGAAGTGCTGAATTTACATCTATTTCCTTGCTTTTCTTTCAGGAGCATTTTCAATTGTTTTGTTTTTTTGTGTTTTTTTGTTCCGTTTATCTCTTTATCAGATATATAAGTTTGCTAAAAAAAGGTAAAACAACTAACGTGTAGCTGTAATACCATTTAATTTCTCAAGATTCAATCTAGGTGATTTCCTTTAGAACTATGTATGAAGTTTTGGAGGGAGGTCACAGAGGTAAGGAGCAGCGGGAGAGCAGACTGCGAGGCCGGGCAGAGAGTACAGCAGAGCAGGGAAGAGGCAGCGACTGGACCAGGTCTGAAGTTGATCACAAAAAAATGCTACAGATAAAAAAACGACAGATTTTTTAACTCAAGTGAATTGGCTTTCATTGCGGATTTTGCTTTGCTGTTTTCATGCCGCTAGCATTGATAGGAAAATGTTATTTCTATTACTTTGCTTCATAATGTGCCTCTACATACTGTAGGGATAGCATAATTCACTCATTCCTTTTGTGTTTAGAGTGAATTCATTATTAGTCCATAAAGGTGCAGTAGAAATTAAATTTAAAATGAACGGAAACTCCAGCCCATATCTTTCAAGGGTTAAGGATTATTCCACAAGATGAGGTTAGCCCCTTATTATTAATTTCTCTAGAAAACAATCAGAACTTAAAAAGGTCCCCAACTGAAAAACTGGAATGAGCTTTATTGTGAAGGTTAAACGGTTATATTTTTGGTCTCTAAAGAAAGTTGCTTCGAAAAGGGTTTTCATAGAGAGCACAGGTATTTTAGCAAATTTTCCAAATTTTGAATTTTTATGCACAATTCTCTATTTAATGATGGTCCAACAGTGCCAGAAAGCTACCAAGTTGTCGATTTCTTAGCACTATATTAGAAGATAAAATAAATAATCACACATAAATTATAGATCTTTTTAATCTGAATTAAAATAAAAACAAGGAACTTTCCTGTCTCCATATATAAAAAAAACAACAGATAAATACAGGCCACTAGAGCCTAAAAATAAACTTTAAAATTAAGGAATGTTTCTAAAAACAGAATTTAACTGACTTTGCTCCAATGCTTTCGGCGTGGTATTTATTTGTCTCCATATTCTCTGAAATGAATATGGAGACAAGTTTTTAATAAGTCCAAAGCCCAAAGTGTCTGGCACTCAGTTTATAATATTTTTTTTTTATTTTTTATATCTAACACTACAGTATGTACACATTGTGGTATAAATGTCCATTATTGTGTCAAAGGTTATTTTAAATGCAGAAGCTATCAACAAAAGTTAAGCAGATAAAACAAATAATGATAATTAAATAGATCTATAAGCATCGGTTTTAAAAACAAATGTCAAAATGTCTTTTAACACCAAAAATTCTTTCACACTGTCAAACATAGTAAACACACAGAATCACAAACACATCCGTCTGCTCACATAATGCTCATTCAAAAAGGTCTTTACAGCCTGTGCCAACGAATAGGCCTACTTCATTGTGGATCTATGAGGCATGACCCCTTAGTCACATGTTTTGGCAGGACTGTTTTATCAATCAGTAGTCAGAGATGTTTCATCTGCAATAATACAGACAGTAAGCCAAGCCATGCTTAGATTGCATGATCTGACGCTGCTCTTACTAAGCTAACACTGGACAGAAGGCTACCACATATCAACATCTTTCGGCTAAGATAGTAGTGATAACCTACTTACTTACCCTGAATATGCTTACTGCCAGTTGATTAAAGGACATACAAGGCATTTGCACTCAGCTGCTTCCAACACCACAATAAGAGTGAAAGAATGCTATACTTATTCTCCACTAGGAGGCAGTAGAAATATGGGATTAAAATTGCTGCCTCAAAGCACCTCTTTCACATCCTGCAGCAGACAGCTGTTAGCTACAGAGTTACATTTTCAAATAATGTATTAATACATTATTTGAGTCATTTATTGACAGAGTCATTCCATGTTGCAGATGGAGGAGACTGAGACGGCCAAGCTTCTGTAGCCCTGAGATCTATGAGCATCTTTCAAAGAGCCACATGCTTCAGTAATTCCACCCAGTTTCTCCCTTGAGGAAACGTGGGTTTAAGTTGTTAAAGAAGATTAATTTCTTTTCCTGCAGAAGCAGAACTGTACATGCTCTTCTAACATTAGCCACACATCGTTATTCTCTTAATCAATGTCTAATTTGCAGGAGAAGGAACACCATATCAACTGCACAGTATCTATTCTTCCATAGGCTGCAGCTTCTCCATGCTAGGAGGCCAGGGCAGAACCTCTAGTAGAGGTCTTTGAAAAGCACACCTACAACAGACCTCATATTAAATTTATAAAGTGTAAGAATTTGATTCTTACACTTAATTTATTATACTGACTATGTCCCCTTCCCTACGTTTATGGAAAGCTAATAACCTATCTGGAATTCCCAAATAAAGCCTGAGAAGAAACCCTGTATCTAATTAAATGAAATGAATACCAGGTAAGATTAATAGATAAGAGCCCCCTTAGGTGTCTCATAGGAAGCAAAGGAAGATGACTCACTTCCTTAACACTATATCATCAATGTATTCTCACAAAGATACATGCTTTCTGACTTTCTGAATTTCAATTGTGTTGTTTTCCATTTACAGTGTGGCCTTTCAACATCTTTGATCTTCTAAAACCTAAACTACTGTCAGGGTAATCCCACCAGAGAGCTTAATAAAATTAAAAGTTACCTCATGCTTTGGTGGATTTTTCTTAGCTTTTTACTAATAACCAGATCAAGAACAGGTATCATTATAATCTAGAGAAATTATGTAAAAAAAAAAACCTTAATATGTGATTATTTTGTTATTGTTACTGCTGTGGTATAATGACTTATTTAATAATGACGCTGAAATTTGGCAAAATTAAGGTTATTTATTAAGCTGGAAATAATTGCAAATATCAAAATATTCATCAAATGATTTACATTCCCTCTTGCCAAGATGACAACTATTACCATTTTACAATGATGAAGGACAGAAAATGGGTCTTTGACCTTGTCAACGTCTTCAAAACCTGCACAGCCCTGAGGTCGCCTCTTCAGCCTTGTTCTCATCAACACACCTCTAAGATTTTCTATATGATCTACATTTTTTTTTTAGATTTCTTTATTAATTATTTGTTTATTTTTATAATTAATTTTGAATGTAATGACATACTTTTTTGTTTGTTTCAAAGAGTGTAAAGTCCTAGGCTTTTTTTGTGCACTTTTTCAGGTCAGGTGCGATCTTGAAGTAGAGAATATGAAATAATATCATATTGTGTGATTATTATGGCCACATAAGAGGAATTGGCATAATGATGATTACGGTATGTAGACAGTCTGTGCACATGAATGTATCTGAACTGTCACAAATAACTACAGTAAAATAATAACAGAGGGGGAAAAGACATCTCTGCAGGAATGATTAATGCAACAAACATTTATGCAACTGAACCAAGAGGAAAAAAAACACTTATAAAGCATTAGAGTAGAATATTTCTATAAATATATTAAAAAAACATAATAACTGTATTTAAGTATAACTTTAAGTGTAACTGAAAGAACAAATGGTGCAACTTTCTTTATTGCACAAGTAATTTTTCACACCTTATCTAAAACCTTTGAATACTCATCATCTTTGAATCAATATAACAGATATTTTCTGACAAAGTAACATCTTAGGGGTTCCCATTTCCATTTTTCTGCACATATTGCTCTGTGCAGTAAAGGTTTGACTTAATTGTGGACTTTTTAAAACATCTTTACCTGTATAACTTGGATCCTTTGCTTCTGTAAAAACGGTAAATGTTCTAATGTTCAAGGGATAGACCACTTAACATGGTGCACAAATTGAACTATCATTCACTCACTAACAACACTTTTAAATAATTTGACCACCAGCATCCCTCGTGACCCCGCTTGGGATAAGCGTGATGGAAAATGGGTAGATGGATGGATTACTTGACTTTTAACTAACTAAAATCATAAAAAAAAATAGTTTCGTTTTAGATAGACACATTCAGCATATTTTCTACCACGTTATTGAACAAACTAGATGATCATTCACATTTCCTTTAACAGTTTCCATAGGAGCAGTCCTTCAAAAGTAGCTTAGAGTATGAAAGTCTTAAACCTCATTATTGACTGATGTTTAATGACAGGTTTTTCAGATTTTTTTTTTAACCCCAACATATTTCATTTAATCTGTATGTAGACCTAACAATATTAATTTAATCAGAAATCAGATTTTAGTTTGAATAAAAATGCTTTTTTTGGCCTTTTTTACCACTATAGATAATTTACTTTGAAAATATCTATTATGGGTAAAAACCTCTTAAATAGGCAATGAACAAGCAGTAAAAAAATAATTCCAAGGCAGTACAAAAAATAAAAAAAAGTCTGCAAGAAAATTTTATTTTGTCTGACAAAAAGATAAAATAAAGCTGTAATTTTGCCCTAAAATAGATATGCTTCATGCAACAATCACAGCTTATATTATTCAAAGGTGATTCCTCTCAAAAGAACATTAAGCAACAGCCACACTGATGTTTCAAACTCTTTCATCACCCTCATCAAGACCCTAACGCCCATATCCCTTGGGCTACGATGCGGACACCTTAAATGATGAATATGAGAAAGAGGAACCCTGGCTCTCATCCTTTTCATTTATTATGCAACTCTTGTTTTTTTTCTGTGAAAATGTGTAACCCTTCATAAGAAAACTTCCACAGCTGCCGAAGACGCCACCAAATCAAACATCAAAGTCCTATGTTTCTACAAGCCCTATTTACATTTACACAAGTAATCTTAGTAGAGAGGCAGATTTTCACTGCTCAACATCACTTTATTCTGTTATCGTTCAGTGTTTTTATATAAGAACAATTTATGAATAAATAGTCAAAAGACAAACTGTCACAGTCTTGTTTCTGTTATGTTTTCTTTTGAGTATTCAGTTTTACTTTGCTCCATGTTTTATTGGTTTAATTCCTATTTTGTTGTGTTTTCTGGTTATATTTCTGTTCTTAGGTTTTTATTTGTTGCCCTCTGTCACCCTCTTGTGTTGGTCTCCTTTTCCCTAGCTCCTTTCTAGACTCCTCTCTTCACACCTGCTCCCAATCAGCTCGTTAGTCTCCCATGAATACTCTCCTTGTGCAGTTTCTCAGTGCTGGTTCCTCGTCTAACCCTGTCTTACTTTGTCTTCCTCGTCGTGATTGTTTTCCCCTGATGTCTCCATGGTTCTGGCTTGTTTTACTTTTTTCATGTTGGATTTCTGCCTCAGTTGTTTGTGAACCTCTCATTAAATCTAAAAACAAACCTGCCTCTGCATTTGGGTCCTCAAACCCCAACCAAACCTTGACACAAACTTAATAAACTTTAAAACCCTTTTAAGGAAAGAATGCTTCCGCAATTTACAAAATACACAAAAAATACAGTATTAATCACTAACAAAATAGTTTAAAGCTTCAAAATAAAAACAAAAAACTACTGTACATCGTCTTCATATCTTGTATCTTGCAACCTCCTACAGATTAAGATATCTTGTCCCCTGACACAACCCCCATACTGTTTGTGGAAAGACTAAGGATCTTTCTAGCTAATATAGACATTAAATAACCAGTCTGATGACATGGTATATCAAAACTATGGGCAGGAATTGCTAAAAACACTAAATGTTTAGCAAAGAGCAATCTGGATGAGAAAATAGTTCTACCTGTAGACAATGAAATAAAAGAAAAACCGAGGTTGGATAATATCACACAGATGCTTTTTTTTTGGGTCCTATCAGGAGAGACATAGGGGCCAAAAAAAGAACAGACTTGGAATCAAACCCTTTTCACTGCAGTATAATTTAGGTCACAGTTCTCTAAACACAGAGAGAAAAGTAGGTCGTTATGTAATGCAGGTTAGGGTGTTTTCCAGTTGGCTCATGCATGAGTGAGTGCAGGTGTATGCTGGATCACACAATACTGAATATTTTTGGTGTGGATGTGAATGAGATTATGAGGCAGTTATTGACTGACGTGAGGTATTACAGGTGCAATGCTTGAATACATTTACAAATAAACCAAAAATACACATATATGGGGAAAAAAAAGAGTAAAGCACAGCCCCATTCTTTCACCCCATCAATCCATTCACTCTGCTGGGTCTATGTAAGCTAAAACATCAGAGGACCCAGCCCTGTCACTTCTAACGACTAGGGAAAGTTGACTTCAGCCTCAAGCAACATGGCCTCAGAGACATGCCCCTACTAAAGGAAAGACAGACGGGAGACCGGGAGGCAGAGGAAGAGATGTAGTGTTTAAAAAAAAAAAAGAGCTGGAGTGAAAGAATAGAAAGAAACAAGGAATGGGAAAACGGGGTGTGTTAAATGTTACCTAAGCTTTGTAAACTTACCAAGCCAGCTTCTATTTAAGTAGACAGAGACAAACACTGGAGGAACAGTGAAGAAGTCCACCACAGAGTTCACCTCCAGCCAGAACCACAGCTTGTCGTTGGCTGCTATAAACTGCCAGAAAATATTTACAGTCACTACGGAAAGAAATGTAGTTTTACACAAAAAATATCGAATTTTTCTAATTGTATAAACTTACACAAATGATTCATAATTTTCCAAGCATTTAGAAAACTAAAATGTACGGTTCATGTGTACGGCCCTACAGTATATTGAATCCTGTGCAGTCAACCAGATCTGTATAAGTAAATGCAAGCTGTCTGCGTATAATATAATATTGAGTATTAACCCCAGTGTTCTATGAAACATTCAGAAGGTTTGATGTAGAAAATTAAGAGACACCATAAAGACCAAGAAACACAAGAGAAAGTCAGGGATACATTTGGGGGGGGTTATTCATACCATGCTTTGAACATTTTATATTTTACATTTTTCCAGTCCCTTAAAAGACGCAGCTGCAGCCTTCAGGGACATAGACATACACATAAACCTACAGGAAGGAAATAATAAAAAAAAACAGTCAAGAGCTCCATTCTACTATAACCCTATAACGTTACTATAACGTTACCAGCTGCTCAGTTGGTAACACTTTTAAACAAAACATCTACTGGTTGTACAGTCCACAAATTTGCCCTCTTAAAATAAGTATACTATTGTTTAAAGAATAGTATAAAACATTCTGTTTAAAAGTTTTCCATAGGCAAGTAAGTAACAGAGCAAAGTTATGGAAGAATGTTATTTTTTTGAGATAAAACAATAATTGGCTTTCTAGAGTTAGAATAACTCTGCACATAAATCTAAAAAAAAAACTGAAACATGCAGGTGGCAGCATTGTGCTACGAGGATACTTTTCCTCAGTAAGGAGAGGGAATCTGATTAAGGTTGATTGAATGATGGATGAAGTAAAATAAAACACCATCATGGAAAAAACTTAGGACAGATCAGGGTCAGTAAACATTGGCCGTCACCTAAAGGAACAATCGAGTGGTTTATATCAAAGCAAGCTTATGTTTTAGAATGACCTAGTCAAAGTTAAAAGGAAAATCTAACAGGAAAGGGTTAAAAACTGTGGTTCAGAGAGACTCTTTATCTTTTCAGACTGTGCTTGAGTTATCTAAGCACAGGACAGGTCGGTGGCTGGACGTTTGCAGCTGGTAGAGACAAAACCTAACAAACCTGCAGCTGTATTAGCTGCAAAAGATGTTTTTCTGCTGAGGGTACCAAAATACAAATGTACCGCATTTGAAACATTATATATATATATATATATATATATATATATATATATATATATATATATATATATATATATATATATATATATATATATATATATATATATATATATATATATATAAAATGTTTGAAGGAAAGCTTTAATATTTTCATGGGACTGAACAATTTTTCATAACTTTTATTCAATTCAAATAAGAAATGACAGATTTTTCATTGCAGTGAAACAAATTGTGAAGAAATGCTATGACTCATGTATGTGTGCACACTGCGTAAAATATACACTAAAATACACAGACGTAAAATACACATATGTGTGTGTCATCTTACCCGCAAGCCAAAGTAGAGAAGGAAGAATACGTTGAAGGCCATATCAATTTGTAATGTAAAATCTTGGTAGAAGTACTGGCAGGATTCTATAGGACTGAAACAGAGAGGGAGAAAGGGAGAGAGAAGGACATTATTGAAGGTTCAAATGCTCATTAACTGATAACATCTCTTTCCTACTGCATAGGTGAGAAAAGCTTTAATGCTTTGATGCTGACGATGTCAATAGCTGCTGTCTTCAGCAGTTGTGGATGAAGTACTCAAGAGTGGTACTTGAGTAAAAGTACTGAACTACAATTCAAAGTTATTTGGTCAAACATCTACTCAAGTTAAAGTTACCCAAGTACTCAGTTTTGAAAATACTAAAGTATTCAAAAGCATGTGCATTTAAAATTACTTATTATTCAAAGATACAAATTAAATGTTCAAGCGTCAGTGTATTTCTGTCTAATTTTCAGAGGAATTTTAAAGAACCTTGTAACTTTCAGAAATCACCTGATGTCTTCATGTGTACAACCACAGCTTTAATGAACAACAGCATGAAAATGCCTCAAATTAATAAGTACTGCCATTTGATTATTTCTGCCCTGCGATGGACTTGGGTCTTGTCCAGGATGTACCCCGCCTCTCGCCCTTAGACAGCTAGAGATAGGCACCAGCACCCCTTGCGACCCCACTTGGGATAAGCGTAATGGACGGATTTGATTATTTCTAATTGAAAAACAAACCATTCTCCTCACACTTTCACTATGGAATAGAGGTTTAAGTTTGAATCTAATAGCACAAAGAAACCGCTTGAGAACTAATTATACTGAACATCTTGGTCACATGGCAACAACCTCTGTTGGTGCAACAAATTTGTGGAATGACATACAAATCTCTAAAACATCCATCCAGGGGCCTGAATGGGTGGTAGGCTTCATATTGGTTACTCCTGGCTAGAAGTGCCCTGCCCGTGGACCAGGGAGGGGAAGGGTTTGGGGGTTTCAATCTCTTGTATCCCTGACCCCTGTTCCAAATCCTAACCCTACGTCCACCTTCTTTTTTCTCTGACAAGAAGGGAGGAAGGGGATGCTTGGTTAAGCCTAGACCGGACTCGGTTGTGGTTGCGGTGTAAACACACCCTCCACTTCCCTTACCTTTCCAAACCCCTGCACATTGTTCAATTTTAATCATCTTTAATCATCATGGATAAAGCGAAACCCTTGCCTAACATTTTTATTCTCCTTTCCAAATGACAATGCAACCTCAAACAAACAGACTTCCAACTTTAGACCCTAACTTTTAGATTCTGATTACCCCTCCATATAAGCTTAATACTGACCTTTACTTCAGTGGCTTTAATACCTAACCCTGAGGTTACAGGACACCCCGGGCCTAACCCTAAAGTGTCCAAATTCAGTGCTAAGGGGCTACTATCTTGCATGTTAAAATTGCATTTCAAGAAAGAAAACCAGCAACACCAGAATATAAACTAAACTGTGCCAAAAGGAACAAGTAACTAGCAGTTTACAATATTTAGTAAAACAAAGTACTGTATTTGACTTTGCAATGTAATAGAGTGAAAATTATAAGTACCCATCAAAAAAAAAAAAAGAATTGATTTAAAGATGCTCAGAAAAAGTACAGTTATCAAGTAAATGTACTTTACTTTCCAACACTGGTGTTAAGTCTCTCAGGTGACTCAGAACCTCTGTTGGTGCAACTATTTTTACCAAAATGCTGATTTAAAGTCATAAACTAATTCCTGAATTCAGCCTCACCACCTAAGTACTACAGTTTTAATGTTTCCATATTCAATCCACTGAGTCAGAGGAGAACTGGGAGTCACATAAAAGCCTTCATTGTCGTGCCAATCACAAAAAGATAAAACAACTGAGAAAGAATTGAAACTCTGAGTTCCTTTGATGCAACAGCACTTGCACCAATGATGAATTATTTAGTCTGTCAAACCCAAATATTATTAAGGATTTTTTTTCTTCTCTACTAAAGAGAATCCAGGAATGAGTGTTTAAAAAAGACAGCTGGAAATGAAGGAGTTTTAATCTGTTTGTTCTGTCAAAAAAGGTGCCTTTGTACAAACATATTGATGATTACCCAGTAGGAAGTGAGAGTCTAAACACAAAAAAAGTAATCAGCTCAGCTCATTATTCAACTTGGTGTCGGCTTTTAGCGTTTTGCTTCAGAGTAATGAGGGAGACAATCATTCCAATAGCAGCACTCTGCATATTGCTCTGGCTGACTGCCTTCTACGGCATACATTGAGCAATGTGTACACTGCCGAGTGAAGGCTTAAAAGACAAGTGCATTTAATTTGAAATCTAATATACATTCTTTGTATCAAGACTAGATTAATGAACAAGTTCAAAACAAGAAGATCATCTTGCAGAGGTTAGAAAGGAGGCTTTATCTTCTAATCACATAATTTTTACTAAATAATTGAATGCATTGTGTAGTAAAATATTTTTTTTTTTAATGATTTAGAATAAAGTTATGAGGAAACGTTTAAATAATTGATTGTGGACTGATTTTAAATTTTACCTGGCTAAAGAACCTTTTTTAGTAATTTGCCTGACAGGTCAGCCAACATCACACTGCACTTTTTGATCTGATAAAGTTAATCTACGATTAAGTTTTTTAAAAAGTGAAATTAAACATCTGAGAGGAATTATGACGCAATCTGGATTCAGTTTCCCACCTCACAGTCTGTGTCGAGAGTTTCCCTTGTTTCTTAAACGTGCATAAAAATTGTAAATTTAATTTAAAATTACAATGTTTTCTAACAGGTGCTGAATTATGTCTTAAATTCGATTGTGTCTTTTATTCAATAAATAAATAAATAGAGAAAATAAAATTTTGTCACATTGAATTGTTTTGCTCTTAATGCATGCTTGCATTATGTAATGACGAGGATATTTTTTCTGGCACTAGTGGCTCGTTTTTTTAGACAATAGGCTGACAGGAAAAGGGATATGAGAGAGGGGGAGAGATATGCGGCAAAGGTCGTATTTGGACCCGGGTCAGCCTTGTTGAGGACTAAGGCCTCCGTACATGGGTGCCACTGTGCCACCTGCATGCCCGGCCATTTACCATAATGTCTCTTTAAATTACTAATGGACAAGAGGAAATAAATTAATATCCTAAGGCAGGTAGTCTTTTCATTGACAAAAAACAACAAGGTTGGTTACAAATAAATAAATAATTTAAATACTTTAATTAATTAATTAATTAATTCAATTTAATTAAAATATTTAATTTAACTTATAAAAATTTGTAAAAAAGTTCAAAGACCCTTTTAATTTGAAAATATGTGAATTTTCTAAAAAAAAATAAAAAATTACTTCATCCTTCAGGCTTTAAGGGGTTAAGTGTGAAATTAACAGCTGCTACTGAAAAACAACACACACAAAAAACATGAGGCTAAATATGCATAATCTGCTATCAATCTGAATAACAGATCCTAAAGTTCCTCATAAATATAGGTAATTATTATATTTCATTCATAATGAAAGTCAGATATAAACAATGTGTGTTCTTAAAAAAATATTTGGGCACAGTATCTGGAAACTGATCATTTTTCTTATAAAAATACATGCTGATGAAGGTTCTCAGTCATCCAGGTCAAAGTCATTCCGTAAAAATTCAAAAAATATCCGCTGGACTTGGTTTCCAAGATTTGAAGACGTTTCGCCACCTCTCCAGGAAGCTTTCTCAATTCAAATGTCTGGATCCGCAGTGAGTTTGAGTCTTATATAGACAACGCCTTGTATCGCTTGGAAACATGCAATGGTAACCGATGAATGGGTCGTTAGTTCCATCGTTAGCCTGTAATATCTGAACCTGTCTATGATTCTAGGGGTTGGTCGTTAAAGGGGGGATTGCCATTAAGGGGGGGGATTGTCCCCTGTAATACCTGAAACCTGTCTATGATTGTTAAGGGTTGGTCGTTAAGGAGGTATTGTTCACCGGATGGGGCGGGTAGGTCCCTCGTTCCTCTGTGATGGGGTGGGGGGTTTGGTGATATCTGGAAGGGATCATGTCTATGATTGAATTGTATGTTTTTGGAAGCTGGAATCTGAGTCCACCACCTCTGTTTAAAGTTGGTTTTTCTCTCTTAACATAGATGGCTTCCTTCACGCCCCTCTCAAACCACCTATTTTCTTTATCCAAAATATGGACATTCTGGTCCTCAAAAGAATGTCCTTTGTCCACAAGGTGTAGGTCAGTGACGTGCGGTCAGGGGAGGCAGGTGAGGCAGTGCCTCACCAGCCATCATGGAAAGAAAGAAAATATATAATCATAAAGTAATTTAAATTGTTATATTCATCCGGTGGTTTGTACTATAAAATATTCATTTTTCATGTAGCTTCACCAATTTCGATTTTTATTTGTTCAAAATCGCTGAATTTTCTTATTTTCCCATTCAAATGCTTGGAAGCGATGCCGGTGAGGCAGCAGCGAGCTCTGCCTCACCTTGGATTGCGCAACCCCTGGCTCTGCGCTGGCTGCAAAGCGGAGAGAGCATGTTGCTGTACGGCGTCAATAAAATGGTTTAAACAAATGTAATATGTGAACTTATTTCTAATAATTTGGCTTATGTATATAATGTACAGAGCTTTTTGTCACCAACTGTGTTTGTGTAACGTGTTTCGTGTAATGAGCGATTATAAACGGCAGAGAACAAGTTCGAGGTGAGGCAGGCAGTTCTCTTGCCTCATGGCAGGGGGTGCTCAAGAGACTGAAAACATAAGGCAGGAACAGGACGGATCAAGGAAGGCTTTCTTCCCTGGCAGTGATCTCCATTGAGACAGAGAGACTTTTAAAACTGAAGGAAGATAAGGAGGACTTCTATTCATTTATAAGTAAAGGTAAGACAGTAATAACATTTATTTTGTTTTGTTTTTTAAGGAAATGTGTGTTTTGTGAGCTACAGTTTGTATGTGTAAGGATGCAGAAGTGAAACATAACCTGTAAACTGCTGTCAATCTATGCATCTATTTGCAAATCTGATTCTGATGACGTCAGTGCCTCACCAGCTATGAACCTCACCGCACGTCACTGGTGTAGGTGTACTGCGGAGTCTTGTCCAGAGGCGGC